CCATTCAGTCTCTAGAAAGGGAATGAAGTGGGTAAATTGATCTACAGACAAGTACAAATCAAAATATTGTCTCTAGATTCATCCAGGGGCATCAGTACAATTGTTATTACATAGTTTTCCATGTCCATCTCAGCAAAAAGACAGATAGTCATTGGAAAGAAAAAAAATAGCAAATAAGGAAGTATCTGTCCAAGATCTAGTTATAAAAATACAAAATAGTTTTGGGTATAATGCTTTAATCATTGTGGACCCCAGCCTGTATTGAAATCAGTGATGTTACTGAACACATTCCCTTTACTATAATTATTCCAAGTTGATTTCAGTTATAGGTAGTCTTCTATAGAAATTAATTATCAACAACTGAATTACGATCAAACTCTTTCCCCTTCTCTGTAGAAATCTTTAAACTTGAAGCACTGTCACACCTTTCTCACCCAATGACTATAGGTAAAAGTTTTATTAACAATTTAATTATTCTCTTTAGAAGAATAATTATAATGGGTTTAGAAGAATAATTATAATAGAAGTTAATTATAATGGGCTTGACTTGGCTTTCATCAAAAGTCTCTTTTAATGATTTTGCCATTGACTGCAGTCCAACATGAGAACAACAGTTTGTAATCAACAAAACTGTATCTCAGAATTGTGCAGGGTTGAAAGGAATTGAAAGAACAATGCTGTTAATATTTTACAGAACATCATGGTACTTTTGTATGGGCTATCAGTTCCCTATAAATTTATACTGACTGAAATATTACAAAATCACTGAATATGAAAGTATTTGCTTTCATAGCTGTTATTCATATGAATAGCTTGACTAAAGTTTGTAAAGGGTAGTAGTCAAAGATCTGACAAAAAGCTGGACTGACATTTTTAAGATCAAGCTTTTGTTCCTGATTTTGTCATACCATGTTCCTTGTCAAAATCTGTACTTGCATGCTCAACTTGAAGATATATTTGTAGTTACTGGAAGGGTTAGTCCATGTCTCAGGGGTATGGATGTAGGGGAAGAGAAGATGATCATGTAGACACTTATTAGAATGAAATTAAAGGAGCTAAAGGGGTAGAATGCTTGCAGATGATTTAGTGAGCTCGTTGTATTAGAGGTGTAAAATGAGTATCAAAAAAAAAGACAACTATTTAAAAGGATTATTATAAAAATTACATTGTTAACAGCAGAGTAAAAGAACTTTATAAGAAAATACATTTACAAAGGGTAAATATTGCTGTCATTGTGAATCGCAAGATCTCTTGGGAGAGTTATATTTGCACATGTGTAAAGGAACTCAAAACAATAAATACTGAAGCCTTAATAATCAGCATGTGCTGGTGTCAGCAATGCCATCAGTTGCATCAGTGCCAAGATAGGAAGCGGGGGCTATCTTTATTTGCCTCAGGTCAGTAGTTTTTATCTGCAGTTAAGTAGGATGGAGAGTACTTTACTTACTCCTTAATGGTCCTTTTAAGGCCCCTTCATAAAAACATCTCATCTGGGTGTGTCTGTGGTGCTACTGAATCTCTTTATTCTGTCCTCATAAAAACGCAGTGAGCAGGCAAATTACATAGAAGTTATGGCCACTGAGCAGGCTTAAAAGAAAAGCATCACAGATTTTTCAGAGGAAAAGCAGTCCTGCTCATCACTGTTCAAATGAACATTTAATAATTCATAACAACTGAGTTATAAGTTTCCCCTTCAATACGTTTCCAAATGTGAATAGATTAAATGGTAATTGCTATCAAGCTTTATGTTCTATTTCATGTACCTAATAAAAGTTTATCTAGTGGAGCTTACGTTGTATCTTTCTGATCTATTCCTAACTGACTGCAATATACTCTATTAAAATATTTATCATTGTGCTATCAAATATTAACCATTTTTAAATCATCTGACTAAAGAAAACAAGTAGTGTTACTTGCTGAAGTTTTCATGAATTTCCTAATGTTTAGTTTTTCAGAACTGTCCCATGATATTGCACCAAAAATACCAAAGACCCTAGAATTGTATTCACTCTTTTAAAATTGGGTTGTTTTGAAATGCACTCTGCTCACATCCATCACTGCTGTCCTTTTTGGCTCTGCATGCAGAATCCTAGTTTTGTTGTCTGTAAAAAGTTATGATTCTGCTTCAGTACAAGAGAATCTTAGAGAGTTGTTGGTTTTTCTACAGGTTAGTACAGAACATTTTAAGGAAAACATTCTTAGGAAGTTTCCTTAATTATCCACCTGCTCATCTACCTGAAATTATGTGGCTTTGTCAGGTAAAAATACCAGCAACTTCCTAGGCTATAATGTCAATGAAGTAATGGTGGAAAGAGGAGAATACTTATCCCCCAGATGTGCTACAGTTGCACAGTAGCCCAGCCTGATTGCCAGGGCTGCGTTGCTCCCCAGCTGAGCGGGTTGTGCTCTCCCAGGGTGCCCCTGCTTGTTCAACCCGCTGCTGATTTATACCACAGAATGAACACAGCAGAAAACTATTCTTTTTTTGGTTAGCGTCCTGCTGAGTTAGATCTGAAATTGTTCAATGAAAGGTCAAACAAGTGCCTGAGAGATTGCTGGGGGTGTGGGACTAAATAGTAGGGAATTGGGAGAAGAGGGATTGCAGCACTTGCAATTAGAGCAGTTTAGACAGCCATGAAATAGCAGCTTTGAAGCTGACACCTGGGCAAGATCAAGAGGCGAACACCCTCTTTGCTCCAATCCAATCCCTCACCTTGCAGGGGAAAAATTGTTCTATTAAAGGTCAGGTGTATAAATGTTGCTACTGAACCATTTCTTTTCACTTTGGAGAAAGCAAGTCTGATCACCGGGTTATCAGAGTAAATCTCCTGAAGAACTGCAGTCTGTTAAGAGCCTGGTGCCTCTCAATAACACGGTAACTATGCTAACTAGCCCCATTTTCTGAGCCTCACTCTCTGCTTATGACCTGTTATTTCCTTTGGCTTGTCTGCACACAGGTATTACCTAATTCACAATCCCCATCCTGTTCAGAGAGGCCTCAGCACAGACACGCTGAGATAATGTCCTTGAGCTCTCACCAATGCCCCTCTAATCTATTGCTTCTGCAGTTTCTTCCACTTCCACAGTATCTCACACATGTTGTAGGCAGCGGTGCTAAAAGCAGATTGAGACATGATCCCCAACTGAGACATGCTACAGTAATTATGTAGATCTGTATGATAACTATCTAGAGAGAGCATTCTATGTTTTCATCTTCTTCTCTGTGCTCTTCATAGAGGAAAGGTGCCTCACTTAATCATTTCTGTTAATATACAGTGTTTGTGTTCTGACATGTTTACCCTGAATAAAAATATTCTCTCTCAAGGGAGAGATCAACCTTATTTTTCTCCTTCAAATCCAGTATCTCATTAAAAAATAATACCATTCCATGATGATCATACTTTGGTGCACAATTTTCTACGTATCCCAGTATCTGTATGGTTATTCTGTGGGTTGTGTATTTTAGAAAGAATGCATTAATAAACACATGCACATTGTCTTTACTCAGGTTTAAAAGACTCAGGATATGAGGATGGCATTACACCTGTAAGTCATCAGCATGCTTCCCCTGAGGCAAGTGGAATCACTGCTCTGCATCATCTGAGGATCAGGACTGATAATGCTGTAATTTTGTTTGTAGTCTTGCCTTGCTTGTCTTACATCTGTAAACCGTATTTTGACTTGAGTTGCAGCAGTGGGATTCTGGATTGATTTAAGGAGAATTATTCTGGATTTGAATTTGGAGCCATTTGAAAAAGAGTTTGTTACTCTTGCATCCAAACCCCTGTACATGTGCACAGTTTGTTTAGTCTGCATAACAATCATGTAAGATAGATATTGTGAAATCAGTATTTCATGTATAAAGACCAAAGGCAGGTTGTTCCTTGGGGACAGCAATGTTCAGCCCCAACAGAACTTTACCCTATCAAAGAATTCTTTCTCTGTTTTACTTCCCTCCAGCTCCAAGCACGGCAGTGTGCTTACTGGTACCAGTCCTGGTAACAAAACACGCTAGAACTGAAAGTGTATACAGCACCTGTGCAAGGGGGAAATCCCCCTGTATCCTGACCAGCTAAAAGCATTAAAACTGTTACTGGTAAAAAAGATGTAAAAAGATATAAAAATATATAGATGGCTCCCCACACAGGTGGTTGCAATGGTGAACTGGGAAGCAGGGCATCTTGGTTCTGAGTTTCTATTTCTTTTTTTTTTTTGTATTTTTTCCCAGGCACAACTTCAATGTGTAGGTATTGGAGGACTCATCAGATTCATCTGGGTACAAACATGTATAAAAGATCACTAACCTTCAATGAGGAGACAATTGCATTTATATATTTAACCTGTTTAGAAAGAAGTGCGTGATGTATTTTTTTTTAAATGTTGTTTTTTTAACAAATAGGTGGTATACATCTTTTCTTCTTTTCTTGCTGATTGGTAAACACAATCTTCCAAAAGCAAAGGTTAATTTAAGTTCCGGGTTTACAATTTCAAGTTTGATTTTCTTTGGCAATTCAATCTGCATGACAATTTTGATCAAATGCCTCAGCTTATAACATTTGTAACACATAATAAAATCCACCCCAAAAAAGCTCATATTTCAATAATCATGTAGTAAGTTGAAGGCACACTGTGACAGAACATGAATTATCTAACAGGCTGCAGATTAACACCAGTTTAGTCTGGAAGACAGATACAAGGACTGAGTGCAGTTTTAGCATTGAAGATAAGAGTGTAATCCTTTGCCTGCTTCTATTTAAAATCAGTGTAAGGCATGTGGCTGAAAACTCATTTGCTAATTGTTTAAAATTTGCACCATTGAAGGAAGATGATTTAAAACACAGGTTCACAATCGGGTGCATGCTACCACTGGTAACTCTTTTACTCGCTCTAGGCCTTTGTGGTGCTGTGGGTTCAATATCTTTATTTAGTCTTGGACTGCATGAAGGCAGATAGTGAATAATATTAATCATTGAACCTTCCCTCACCTTTCCCCTGTGAGGTGATCATGACTAACGAAAATCTGAGCTATGCTGGTAAACTGATATTGGCAAAAGAGTCGCTTTTTCTTTGCCTGATTGGATAAATATGCAGCTGGTTTTGGAATTAATTCTTCTGTGAGTGAAATTAAAAGGTGTTACTTTAAAATGCTCCTGTATATATGCAACAGAATTTAGTCACCAGAAATGTCATGGCCAATACAAAAGATGCAAGACTGTAAGCAGTACATGTAGAAAATCAAGTGAATGCTCCTGGTTAATATTTCGACTTCATCCATTTTTTAAAAGCTCCGGTGGTGGTTCTGTGTGTAAATGTTTCTACCTTTTGACACAGATTCCTTTTATCACAAAGTACTACATTCAGTTTAAGACTGGTCCAAAACAGCTGTAGTTGCTGGTTAAATTTCTTGCCAGGCTTGAAGCTTTTAATTATGTTCTTATGTTCGTTTTTAAAGGAAATAGTTTAATTTCTATAAAACAGAAAAATCAAATATAGCTGTGTATTTTCTCATGTTCCAGGAATTCTAAAAGGGTTTCAGGACCAGACTGTTCTGTTCTTAACTCATTCCCTGTGCTTTGATCTATGTATGCATGCTGGTGAGAAAACCATTGTGGGTGCCTGGCAGGGAGGCCCCCAGCACTTCCCCACACACACAGCGCCTGCAGCATCCACGGTTCTGGGGGAGGGCTGAGAAGTAGCACAAGGCACAGTTGCATCTATTGTGCCTCTTTTTCTGAGGGCAACAAACCTTCCTGTACCAACCAGACCCTGCTGACCGCTACACCTATGCAGCACAAACCCTGAATGCAAGAAGATAACAGCTGTTATCACAGTGCTTTTTATCTGGGAGGCAAAGTCTAAAATTGCATCTGACCTCTGTGTGTGCAGAGACGCCAAGTGATGAGAGCTCTGCCTAGATCCTCAGAGGTTTTAGATTAGATCGCGAAGAGTGAGGTACCTAAATGAATAGTTCCAGGGATAATAGCTTCTGTGTCTTCTATCCATGTGTGGTACAAAGTAGACTCCAAACTGTAATTTATCAAATGATATATTGCGAGCCTTAGAAAACACAACAGGACTTTTGTGTTGTTTTTTTTTCCCTAATGGGTTTACTAATATATAAAATTACAACACTCCATTTACTTATAGAATCATACAAGTAATTAAACTAGCTATAGGATAGATTTAACTTATTTATCTACAAGTCAATCTTCTGATTGCCCTAGGTCAATGGTTTTTATCAACAAAGCTCCATAATAATAGATTTTCTTAATAATGCCAATAGGGTATGTATAACAAAAAATATAGAAACACATCTGTCTGTTAAGTGTGTGTGCGTATATCAGTCTTTGCATATATACATTTCTATACAGCACAGGCTCAGGGGAAAACAGATCAAACCCACATGTTATGTGTCTAGAGAAATAATAATTTTGAGCTTGGCTAAGGCAATAGAATGAGTTCTTATTTTTCTTGAATATTGGGGTCTGCTTGCTTGCCCAGTCATTTGTTTAGATTTCAGTGGAAATACAGTAACACATACTAGAAAATTAAATTAATTGGAATTATGTTCCTCCATGATAAGACTTGAAATGAGATTTAAATCAGTGTGTGCTTGGTAAAACATGGCAATTTGATGCCTGTTCCACAAAACTGACAACCGCATCTAGTTGTTTTTCTTCTGAATTTGATCAGATAATTTGGTCAAAACTTGGAGAATATCTAACAGTTACACAATCAGACAGATTTGTTCAAAAAATTACAACATAGTGAGGGAAACTCAATTAGTTTTGTCAGCAAATATAAAGGCACTAGCTTGGACTTCCAGAAACTGTCCAAAGCTTTTACAAATACTCTTGATTCAGCTAAAATCATGCTAATTATATGTTGGGCTCAAAAAATCCTCATTAAAACAACATTATTTGTGTCATAATGTCCAAACCTGAAAAGACAGGAAATACTGCAATTAGTAAGCAATTGCTCTGACAAACTGGTGTGTACATATATATATATATATATTTAATCATATGACTGTAAAAATTGCTCCACAGCCTTCCACATGTGTTCAATATCTCAGTTACTTAATATCTTTTTTAGACCCACTGTATGGACATGGTGTTTACTTTATTCAAATTCTACTGCAGAGAACCATATTGATTTCTTTTTTCATTTTTTTTCTCCTGTAGTTCCTGTCACCGCAATATTTCAATGCTTCACAAATTCTAATGGTTTTTTTGCTAGTACCAAAGGTAAGGTACAAGGTGGTGACAACCTTCTTCTGCATAAGGGATGCAAGGCAGAGGGAGACGCTATGACTTCTGAGTGCTTTGTTTGGGAGATACCTAGGATCTGATTTGGAAAAAATTTAATAATAGAGAACTTTGAGACTTGAAACACTACTTTGAGACTTGAAACACTACTTCACCTGCTCTCTGCTGCATCTCTAAGTCCCCAATAATTTTGTGAATCAAAACTCAAGTACAAGCATCTGGAAAATGAGAATACAGTTAACAACCATGTGTGAAAAGTATGGTTGAAATGACCTGCCAAACATAAAGAGGTGGTTTCTGGCAGAAGCTGAGGAAGTAAAATTTTCTCAGGTAGCACTGAATACTGTTGCCCACACAAATGTCCTTTTTCTTCATATACTCTCTTTAATGCTAATCGGTTAATTATCACAATCTTTCCTGAAACTCTTTATTTGTGGTTTTCTTTCCAGATATATTTGTTGTCACAAGTCCAGCTTTTCTACTTCAGAGGCACTCATCACTTGGAGAGGCAGTGGTAATCTCTAGCTTTACTGTTTGTTTGTTTCTTTTTAATTTATGATATAAGATTTGCATTTGTTTTAGAGTGTTTAGAGCATTTGTATGGCTATTGACCAATTTTATAATATTTGGCTAATTGGTGTCAGTAATTACATTTTCTGTGTTTCTCAGTCTTAAGAATCACAAGTAAGCTCTTGCAGAAATGTGTCTTTAATGTGTGTGTGTAAGAATGGAGAGAGGCAATGAGAAAACGTGAAGGAAACACATAAGAGGACTCTCCAGAGCTTCTGGAAGTAGATGATCGAAACAGTTATAAAAAAAATGTTAAGAATTTACTACAAACAAAATTTGCAATAAAATCTAATCCTCTATATGTTGAAGTGGTATTTGCACTCATTTGTTTATAAGACCTGTAAACCAGAAGAGAAGCTAAATATATAACTAAGCGTTGAAACAACATCTGCCCAAGCACCACTTAAGAAAAATTTCAGCTCTTCTTTTTAAGGATGTTAAGTATACCTCCATTTTTTTCGACCTTTAGCTTTCATCTAGTTTTCACTAATTATTACAGGTAACGAGCCAGTGTTTTGCAGTTATTGTCCAGGGACAGTTTTAAGGTATGAAAGGTTAACTTACTCAAGAAGCTGAAGTTTAGGACAGAAAAAAAGTGAATGTGCAGAGAAATCACCCTTTATCTTTTGAGAAGAATTTTGAATTTGAAGTTAATATGCTGATGTTTTAGTATAAAAAACTTATTTCACAGTTTTCAAGATGTGTGTTTACATAGCTCAATGGGAACTCCTTGAGGTGTTAGTGAGAGAGAGAGAGGACACTGAAAGTGCATTGAAATAAATGGATGGCACAGTCAGTGTCCTCAACTGGGACTTTCCCAAAAGGTTCAGGCATTATGGCATTCTCACAGCTCATAGAGCATTTTGCTCATTTTCTGCTCTTCAGTAGCTGCATATGATAGCACACAGACCCAGAGGCAGCAAAGTTGCATGAGAGGGGCGACTCTCAGAGTTACTTACGTTGACAGCCCAAGCTGTGCCAGATATATCCCGGCAGACATTTATCACATTTAGGCCCTGATGTTCCCTCCTTACACTCACAAAATCCTCTGTCATTACAGCGATCATGGACTGAACCAAAAGGGTTACAATAACAGTCTGCAGAAACAAGACAACACATACACACTGGATTCAGGTCTACATGTGGTGATAATTCATTCAATACCAATAAAGGGTGCATTTCCAGTGCTAAAGGTAAAGGAAGACTGTCTATTATGGATATCTAGAGTAGTGAATATAACTACTACATGTCCATTTATTTGTTTGCATATGTCATTTCAGGAAGAGACGTTTTATGATGTGAAGAGAAAAAGTAAACAGAAAAGATATAAAGGCAGAAGATACCACGGGTCTTTGAGGGTAAGTGATTGTAACAGATTCTCTTTTGGCAAAAATATTTTTGACAATTTAATGAACATTAGAAAAGTTTTGTATAGTATGGATATATCAATGTGCCATCAAGGTGAAAAGATTAACATTATTAAAATAGGCTTATCTGTGTTACTCATTATTTTCAGAAGTGCTGAATGTCTTTACAGGGCTATATAAATGCACTTTACTTATTTCCAAGATAGTCTTCCTTTATAGTTTTGAGCAGTATAATAATTTTTGTGGATATTTACCATTAAGTTGGTGAGATTGTACTTATCAGTGACATTAATAAACCTGTTACGTATTCCACAATGGAAAGCTTGAGTTGAGCACTAATGTACAGCAAAACTTATCAGAACTGGCTCTATGCTGCCATTTTAATTTCTCTCACCTCCCAGTGTGCAGATGGAAAATGCAGTGAGGCTCATTCCCTGCTGTATATTTTTCACATGTGTTCAGCTAATTAAAGAATAAGTAGGGAACCCATTTCCTCCCACAACACTTACTGTGTTGTTCATTCACAGCCCTTTTCTTCAATGTGATTACAATATCCGTGTTCAGCTTTCAGCTAGCTGAACGAAGGCAAGACAGTAGCTGGCAGAGCTCATTTTTGGCACTCCTGTTCTTCAACTTGGTTATTTATATAATTTTTTTCCCCCCAAATGAAGGGCTGTATCTTATATGTATGTAGACCCATGTAGACCCAGAGTAACTTCACTGTCAACTGAGACCACAGACACTTTTTGGCAGCATCCGATCTCTGCTGCTTCCTCAGTCTGGGCAACCTGCTGGGAGTCTGGATTTATATGTCTGTGAATTGGTACTACTTTGATGACTACCTTTGGCAATTGTTCCCCAGCATTACGTTAAACCTCAATGATATCATAAATGACAAAAAGGAGTTGAACTCGGAAGTTACATATATATATATGTATGTATGCCTCTATAACGGAAAAACTGTAACAGAAAAAATATTTCCAGAAAGACATTTGTCATCTGTTGTCTCACTGTTTATTAACTATAAATTACAGATGGCACTTTGAACATTTGGCATGCTGAAGAAGAATGCCAAACACGGTTCCACAACAATAATAGAGTCAATTAGCTAGCAACATTCATTAATGAACTGACATGCCAAAAATACTGTGCAAGGCTGAGTATTATAGCACAGTGAGTGCCACTTGAAAAGCTGGGAATTCTCATGTTAATCAGATGTATGAAATGCTTGTATAAACAGGCATAAAATTGAGATACACTTTGAATGCAGGAATTAAATTTTGCTTGAAGAGTGTTTATAGAAAATCTTGAAAGACAAAAACTTGGAATTACATTAGAAACAGAGGGCCTAATTCTTGTTAAAGTAGCTTTGTTAGATCTAATGGAGTTACAGTGATTTAAACAAGTATTTGTGAAAGAAATGTATAGCCTGTGTATCACAGGCTGAATGTTATAGATACATAATATTTTCCAGAGAGCAAGACTCTGATCCTGAACCAGTGAAACCTTTCCTACTGAACTCTATCACATAAGTGTGTTGGAAGTACCAGGCCCAAACTGTGCTGTTTAATGGAAAGTAGATAGTAGAAACACAGATTAAGCCAGGCTCTTTTACAAAATTACCAGATCAAATCAGAACACCAAACAGACCCAGCAACCTTTAGTAACTGAATCTAGTCTCCATCTTTCCCAATACACAACTGATAACACAGTAATACGACCTACAGAGGTCCAAAGAACATCCAGGATCATTGTCCAATGTAATATCACAGGCTGTGGAACACTTCCCAAGACCTTCCAAATACTTAAGACATGAAAAACCTCAAAGGTCACAATTTCAGTGTGCCCCTTACAACAACAGGGCATTAAATAATACTAAGCTAATGCTCTCAGATCATCCTAATAAGCAGACCACACACAGGTTCCAGGGTGGGGGAAAAAGCCCTGCAGATCTGAACTGGGAAGGAATTTTCCTCCTAACCTCCATCTGGTGGCTGTTTGTAGGACGGGAAGATTAACAGAAGTAGTCATCTGTTTGCTGAGATTCACTATATCAATGTGATGCTGCCAACAAAACACAATGAAAGTAAAAAGAAGGTGGGCTGCAGGCTTGCTGCTTATCAGTCTGGGTTGACAGTGGCTACAGGACAACCCTTGGGGTTCACTTAATCATTTATCATTAGGGCTTCTAAAAGTTTCACAGATGTTAATTGAAGTTTAAGCCTAACTGACTGCAAGGCTGGCTTTCCTAAAGGTGTGACAGCAATCACCATTTCAGTATTTATTTTGAAAGGCAAAGGCCATGTTTTATTACTCTGGGTCTACTTGGTGGTTTTCATGCTCTCCATGCTTGCCAGTGTGTGAATTCACTGAAATAGTTATTAGGGCTTTATCAAGAAATAAAAAACTCTTCAAGATGTTAAATTCTTTTTCATGTCAAATTAATGATTTTTAACTTCAGAACACCTTGATTTATTCAGAAACTGCAGTTGCCCATGTGAGGTAATTTTCCAGTTAACTTACAAATCCACAAATATTTGATATTTCATTTTAAGAAATAAAATTTATTTTGCTTCTAAAGAAATTAAGGGCATCAATAATTTAGATTTAAGCCCACTGTATAATGCATTGCATATAGTTCACTGGTAAAAACCTTCTCAGTATTTGAATTCTTTAGTTTTAAAAATTAAACAATTTACATTTTCTCCATGTAGTTAGCATCACCTAAGATTCACAGATTTGTTATCCATGTACTTACCACATATATTTATGAAAACTGTGTAAGCAGTTTTGATAAATCAGAGCCAAAGCCCTGTTAGCTGCCATTAAATTAGCTTATCCAAACATTTTTTACCTTTCTACATATATGGCTGAAGAGGAAAGAATTAGCCTGGCAAAATGACTTTCATACGGGAAGAAGACTTGCACATGTCACTGGAAATCTGCTTATTAAAATGTTCATGTCAACATTTCACTTGTACTTAAACCACAAAAAACTGATTTTAAACTCATCAAAAAGAGAAATGAGCGTTTCCAATAGAGCAAGACTGTGCTTGACCTAGAAGGGTGGTGAATCCATCAACTCTCTCAGAGGTGAAAATACACTACATTTTCCAGGATTAAATCTCAGGAGCCCCAGTTCAAGAAAATATTTTAGGCACAAGCTTCTCTGTTTTCTGAAAAGTGCTTAGGTATCTTTCCCATTTCACTGACTTTACACATGAAGTAGTATGAAAGACTTCTCAAGCTGGCAAATCAGCAAGGATACGTACGTTAGGACACATACATTTTGTATGCAGTATGATCACTGTGACCGTGAAAACTGTATTAGTCCAACAAGAATGTTATTTATTTAAAACAAATACCTAATATGTAGCAAACCAGGGTTGGAGCCTACAGTCATTTCACGTGGTACAATTCTCATGGGAGCCCAAGGGAATTCTGCTTTCATTAAGGTGGAAAGTCAGCAAATGTTTCACATTGCCTTTTTTTTCCCCAGACTCTTTTTAAATTAAAGGATTTTAAATTTTATTTCTGCAGAGTCTAGGCAACTGCAAAGTGCATAGTTGTTTTACTAAGGTATTTTAAATATATCAATTGTAAATTAATGTAAAAATTACATATTTTTGACTTCTCATTTACTAAGTTCCTTGTCTTATGTAGCTACAGCTGCTGTCTTAGCATTTCAGTGTACATGGGAAAACAATGTACTGAATGAGCAGATGAAAAATTCCAAACAGAGTAATTTAGTCATATTCATTAGGCCTATTTAAGCAGCTGAAATTATACAGCCCTGGTGTCATACCAATGATGTCTGTCATCTACGTCAAACAAATATGTGGGACAGTGTTTTTTTCCAAGAACATTTGATTGTGTAAATCTCCTCAGCACAGTTATACAAAATCATGACTTGCCTACTAAAGTTCTTATTAGCTCAGACTAATTACTGTCAAAGGAGATCATGCATTTTCTGAATGCATTGCCAAGCAAAGTTAAAAGGACACATGAAATGCAGTGCGTGGATGGATCTGTGTGTTTAATCACAAAGTAAAATGTTAATCTGTCAAGTTACAAACTGAAACAAATAATAGCAACCTAAATAGTTTCTGTCTTGAATCTCAGCAATGGATTATAAAGAATATGAAAATATAATTTATTCATCCATAGTCTATTTTGGCATTAAAATATCTGCTAACTACTCTTTTTGCTTCCTGGAAAATGGAATGAAAAAAATCATAATGATAATCCAAAAAAGGTCCTACTGATGCTTATAAGAAACATTAAATAATTAAATTCTCTACTTCTGTTTGTTACTAGAACAGTGTCTTTTGTGGCTACCTGTTAACTACTGACCACTGTAGATGGCTTCCTTTATTGGCTATGTCCAGTCTTCACCTGAAGTGTCCTCACGTGTGCTATATACTGTCTGTGGTGACATGAGAATAATGCATATTCTTCTAATGTGATAAAGATGTTAATTCTTTTACTAATATGCTTCTCTTATTATGTTCTGATATTTTCCCTAATTCTGCAATTTGAATATTTATAGCAGATGCTCATTCTAAAGCACTGTTTTTATCTCAGGATTCCTTTTCTAAATTGACATCATGTTGAACTGGTTTGACAAATTCTGTTCCTAACCCCAGGGATATAATTTCAGTTTCTCCTCTAAGGAGAGGGGAGGTAACACTGCATTTATAGCCCTGTGCTTGGGAGCAGAATTACCTGCAATATGTTTTTGTGAAATTTAGTGAATAAAACGGGTTAATAAATATCACTCCCCACATCCTCTTGCTGCAGCTGGCAACTTTTGTGGGTCTTCAGGCAAGTATTCAAGAGTTTGTACTAATAGTTGCAAAAGTTGGGCTGGGAACAAGTATTTAAGACTCAATCTTTTAGTTTTCACATATGTGACCCCAGCGTGGCTCCCTCCTGCATAAGGACAGAACAGCCAGTTTCTCAGGAACTGCTGGGGTAAGGACCCTTAGACAGAGAGTTTTGTCATCATATACGGATTCAAAATGCCTCCTTGGGGCTACCAGGGCAATGGAAATGAGGCAAGAAGTCTACACAGATGTTCTTATCCATTGAAAAAGCTCATTCTGCCTTAACTGGCAAGTAAGCAGCAGTGGTCCCTAGCAGCTGCCAGTGGCTGAAAAGGCACAGAAGAAAAGCCGCAGTTATCCCGGGACTGACCTATGCACACATTTTCATCGTCCAGCTCTGCAGAAGCATTTCTGAAGTAGCCCAGCCTGCATAACTCACAGTGCTGACCTCTAGTGTTGTGCTTACAGCTCACGCAAATGACCGTATTGAGCAGCTCGATGTAACTGCACCGGTTGGAGTGCCCGAAGCATTCACAGTCTTTCAAGGAAGAACAGAAATGTATACAAAATGTATACAGCAGCAGAGTAATAGCACATTACATGCTTAGTAAAAATGAACCATGAGCAGAAATATGAATGAATGGCACATACATGTTAATCAATGTAACATGGACAACAGCAGATGTCTATCTGCAATGAAAGTGGAGTTTGTTTCAGGCAGGTTAGCGTGACCCGACAACCATGGCATGACGTCGAAGGTTGGCTGTTGTTGGCAGACCTGATGGAACTGAAGCATTTGCAGTTGTAAACCTTTCAGGGTTACTGGAGGCTCTATAGTTTCTGCTGATAGAAATGCACATATTTTTGCACATTTGAGATGAGTATAAATCAAGACCCAGGAAAAACTTCCTCATATTAAAAATGTTAAATTCAGTGGACAAAATTGTCAAACTTCATTAAATCCACAACTGTAAGTAAAATAAATCTTTTTCCTGACAGAAATGGTGAGTATTCAAAAATGCTACTGAACTTTGGGTGCTATAATTGATAGGCACCTTGGGAACCAGACTGTTCTATTTCATGACTAAACAAATCTCGAGTTTGACAATTTTGGCCAGCACCTCCTAAAATGATAAACAGAGAAGAAAAGGAAGGAAGAGAGTTGTTAGTTGAGAGCTACTTCCACTGTACTTTTCAGGTAAGCATTAACCCATTTTTGTATTCTGAGATGAAAAACAACTGGGCCAGAAAAGATCATGAAAATTCTGAAATGTGTACTGAATAGAAAGCATGCTTACTGCAGCCATCTGAAATGCAGTTGGCATGACAGCCACTTTTAAAAACCCCCTTCATTAAACACGGAATGCTAGTACCTTTTAGTCTTTAATCACAAGCAATGCTTGGCTTTATGCAGAATGAAGGAGAAATTAAGAATGTATCATTAACATTATAGAAGGCACAGCTCCGCTCTGTGTTGTAAGCCTGAGCACTCAGCCCACAATGAATGCAGGAAAGGTTATTAGGATGATCAGAGAAGTAGAGAGTCTATTTAAAAAGAGAAGACTAAGATAATTTTGCTTGTTTACTCTAGGAAACTGATGATAGGAGATATCAGTGGGCTATCATCACGAGTTAGCCTTCTGCCATCCTAATGGACAACACTGGCACAAGAACAAATGGGTGTTAACTGGAAGTTCAGAAATTTCAGCTGGATATTAGGAGATGGTATCTAGCCATTAGGGCATCGAGGTTCTTGAACACTTTCAATTTGTAGCAAAACACACTGATGCTTTAGAGATGTAGTTTATTAACTGGTGGAAGAAATTACAGTATGTTTCCTTCAGTAACAGAGCACTGGATGCAGTGACTTGGAAGGGCTTCAAGGTCTTGAAGTTAACTTATCTTGTAATTAGATACAGCTGTAGCAGAGGGTGTAAAATGTTTCCATACATGACAGAGGCCAAGCACTTTGTGCTGCCTTTCCTCTGGTATCCTCCTAATTATGCTGGGACCCCTAATGAGCCCACCGATTGTTGGAGGTGGGCATCAGATACAATATTTGTACCTGTCTCTATTTGTATAAAGAAATAACAGTCCTCGTACATGTTTCTGAGCATGGTATGCCCACCTAATACATATATTTCTTTGGCTTTTGTCTGATGTAGTGGACTGTAAATAGACTGCATTTTTTCTTAGACATTTAGCATAACATATGTTTCAATCTTGAGAGCTGCCTTTCTCCTGCCAGGAAACATTAATTAATTTTACATATACGCATTTAGTTAACACATATTTCCCATTCTCTTTGATACTATGTACTTCTAAATCAATGTTTTGTGGTTCATGCCAATCTGATAATTTTGATGCCTGTAAGTGTTGGAGTACAGGAAAACATTTGGTGTATCAGTCTCACTTGAGACAAATGAGTAGGGATGAAAAATATGTTAATGTTTGTTGTCTTTTGCAGTTGGTCAGTGTGATTCAGCATCTCAAGTGAGAACTGGCTGTGAGGGACAGAGAAGAGAGATGTAAAAGTGAAAACTAGCACTAGCAAATAGGAATCACGGAAAATTGTTAGGATTGTAAAAGTTTATGTGACTGGCTAGTGATAAGCAATCAATCTGATCTTTCTGAGTTTTGGATTCAGAAGCAAGGCTGTCTTAGTCTCTCTGTCTGACAAAGCACCTGTCTTCTACTACCATTAGACAATTTATTTTGGTGAGATGATACTGTATTGGTATGTTTGTCAGACTTGCTAAGCATTTTCATACTGTAGGTGAATTTAGAGGAAATAATTTACCTTGTTTTTCAAATCAGTAACAGGCAACCCAATACTACATTTTATGTTTCCAAAATATGCAGACTATAATGAAAATCAGGCCATACTACATAATCTTTGGTGTTTAAAGTAGCAAAAAGAAATGGAGAATATTCTGTGAATGAATGACTGCACTACTTCCACTCTGAAATTTTGATATGACCTTAATTAATATTACTACTATACATAATTACAAGCACATTACAAAAGCACAAGAAAAAAAAGCTGCACATTAAGTAATTCACTCTGTAACAAGACTTGCTCCAAATGATGATTTGGAGTGAAGAAGCATCTGATAATTACGAAGGACTTGGATGTACACACATGCTCCTAAACATATGCAAAATGACTACCCAAGTTCAGATGTGGGTCATCGATATTAAAGGTAAACTATGAGACCAGTTCTTGTACTTGATTGCATTTATATGGGTACTGCTCTTGTAACAACTGTGCTGTGTGAAAGAAAGTCTTTGTCTGAAAGTTAACTTATACTAAGGTACAGGAAAGCTCTAGGAGTCTTGATCTGACTAGTAAATGCTACATGGTGTAGAAAAAAAACCACAGATGAATTGAAAACAGTCTAACGTCTCATCGAACGTTAATAATGGCAAAAGGAAAAAAAAAGAGGCATGGTAAGTAATGATTAAATAAATTTTGTGGTAATGTTTCCTTCTCCCCTGCCTCCTCACCATTTTGCTAGTGCAATAATTTGCTGCTGTTGGCCTGATCAATGAATCATTTTTACATCCCTCTGTGTTTACAAAAATAAGCTATGTAAAAAGTCCTCATATGATTGAAATGGAATTATTTTCTCTACTGGCTACATGAGGTGCTACACCACTCAAACATAGCACATAGAATTGCATTCAGCATCATGCCGGCCGGGAAGCTAATACTTATTAGTGTTGTATGGCCTGTCTACCTTATTACACGGTTCATCTTAACCAGAAAGTAGCCTGCTTGTTAGAATTGTCAGAAGCATAGCTTAGGTGTTTAGGCACACATCTCTGGTCTAGCAGCCTAACCACTTTTCATGCACTGGCAAAGTCATGCAATCACTGAAGGAGATAGGGAAGAAGTATCAAAATCAGGCTGCACATCGTTTACCAATAGTGGAATGACATGAGTGTCTTACAGAGCTAGAAAATGCTGCTTTCAGTTCTGAGTACCACGTGTCAGGAAAGACACAGATAAGTTGAATAACAATAAGGAGTGAATGGTTTGAAAACTAGAATCTCAGAGGAGAAGTAATGATAGCTAGATAGGTTTAATGTGAAGGAAAAAGGGAGAAGAGACCGCCATGTTAGATGCGATCATTGTCTTTGGATGACTCAGGAATTGTCAAATCCCTTGCAAACTCATGGAAGCATTGACTCTATCAGCCTTTAAAAACTATTTTCCAATGCAATGATTCTATTGCAACAATCTTGATCCTCTTGCATAAAGTATGATAAAATTGCCCATTGAAGGAGGCTCATGAAGAGGTTGATCATCTAATTGTTTAGTTTCTATAAATTGAACGCATTTTGCCCCATTACATCTTTGAGATGACATACTATTGTTGTGAGGATGAGGTTCAGCTGAAGCTTCAGCTGCAACCAGTAAAACATGAAATGCCACCACATGAAACAATGGTAAACACACATGGGAGGGTCTCATAGTTTTTAAACTAAGACAGGTAATGCACGAGACAGCTATCAGTGTGACTTTCTAATTAAAAGCACAAAGCATATTTCAAGAAAAGTGCATTCAGAAATCATTACATTATTTTTTCTTTTTCATTCTCCAGTAACTCTGTGTTCTTCCTCCATACACTACAGCAAACAAAGGAGATTTCACTGTAACCTTAGAAATTACCTGCTTCGTAACAAACAGTATGGCTCATTACCATGATCTCATCAAATGGGTCAAACTAAGTTCAAACATTTTTTAATAACCCTATTCCTTGTTAATATGTATTTCATGAATAATGAGATATTCACAATAGCTACAGAAAGACAAAAACATCTTCATACATACTCTTTACAGATAAATTGATGAGGAAAAACAATGAAGAGATCTCAGGGTTCAGACTGTGAATGACAGGTATGCTAATGAAACGGGCTGCCTGTACGTCAGAGAGAATATTGGCATGCTTTATTATGCCTATATAATTCCACTATTTTGATGAAACACTGAACAGTTCAAAATGTAATGCCTACACTCTGAATTTGCACACTTACAATAAAATGAAGATGTAAGGCACACTTACAATGCATTCAAAGACATAACAATGCATTACACTCCATGGCACTTACAGATACTTTTTGAGGACATGGACAACTGATGTTTTCTGTATTGTTTTCCCTCAACTAATCTGCTTATGTTTCCTCTTTTACAATTTATGCATATCAGTGAGGAACACAAGACTATAGTAAACATCCTTTCTAGGCAAGGATCTGAATGGTCATATTCATACATTTTACTCCTTTAAAAATAAATGCCATGTCACTTTATTTGCCAGACATGACTCTCTAAGAAGCAGATTTATTTTTCTTTGTATGGCCTGTGTTTACACAACTTAATGCTTCTGTTGTATTCAATGAAGATGCCTCACTAGTAAACTAATGGGTACACTTCACAGATATTCCAGATTCATACAGTGCAATGTTTTCACAACACAGAGCACTATGGAAACACTGTATGAATCCTAGAATTCCTACCTCTCTTGTGGTTTGCAACTTGAACAGAAGAAACAGTTGACATAGCTAATTTGGGAGCAACTGGATAGTAATAAAATGAACAGTATATTAGAAAAGATATCACATAGGAACAAATCAAAAGATTAAAATAAACATCTTTATCTTCTAACTTTTAAATTAAATTTAACAATGGTTGTTGTTTTCTAAGGAAAGAGTGAAAGAGAGAAAATGAGTTATATACTACCAACTGTTGAATCATTTGAGCTGTAATACCCAAGATCAAGATGGGGAATGTAATTCATATCGACACACTTTGGCAGTTGTGTGTTAGAGATTATTTGGTGATTTCTCCCAATCCATGACAAATGAGTATATGGTAACCAGAGTGGTCTGAAAAGGGTTTTATTGAATTTGTATGCATATTTATTCTGGCCAAATAGTATAAACATGAACCCCACAATAAAACAATTAGATATAAGCAGATTTCTGTAATTATTCTTTTCATACACTATCCTTAACTGAAGTATTTAATCTACAATAAATGTTAAACACTAACAAATGGTGCAAACACACATAAACTGAATAGAAATGGTTGTAACTTTTTGTGTTTTATGTTCCCTAACAAAACATCAAAACTAAATTTACTTAAACTCTTTATTTTTGGGGAAGAAACACTGAATAATTCTGTGCTGTTCGAGACGTATTTTGCAACAAAGTCTTAGATCACTCACAGTATAATTAAGCTATGAAATCCATTAGAAATGCTAAGTATAATTTAATTGGGAATGTTTTGATTTAAAATTCCTGTGAATAATGTAGGCTAATCCTTACAGAAAGCAGAGGAACAGAGATCAATCTGGTTTTTGCTGTTTGTTTAAGGAACACATGCAAAAGCTTGGAAAACATAACATGGGCTAAATGAAGTTGCTGGAATGCTAAGTATCACTTTATCAGGGATATTTAGTTTAAAATATATATGAATAATCTGAACTATAGTACATTGTTAATTCTTGTAGAGAGCAAAGATTAATTAGTATTTTCTGGTTTTTTGAGCACATAGAAACTTGCACATATAACATGGTAGATTTTACATGCATGTGTTTTGATTTGGTCATTGTGATCCATAGATTTAATTACAGCCCTTCCAATGTAATTCCCAACAGATCTTGTTCAGTTTAGTGGCTCTTTTTCTAGACTGCCTTTTCATTAATTTTATTCTCCACCTCTATGTGTTACAGCACAGAAAGGACACCTTTGAATAGCGAAGGCAAGCCACAGGCCAGATTTCTGCAGGGATTTTTGAAGAGGAAAGGGCAGTAAGTAAGAAGAACAAAAGGACATTATTTTTATAATGAATAATCATTCTGAATGTGAAGTATGGCTGAATACTTCTTCAAACAACAAAGAACCTTACTTTTATTAGTCATAAAAAGTAATTTGTTTCTTTCAATGCTAATCAACGTGCCACAGTCTGTGAGTAATTTTTCGTGTGGCGCTCAAATTGTAGAAAACCATGAGCCTGTCCTGCAGAGAACTTGCTTGTATTGTGGATGGCATGAAAGCTGAGAATGCTTCTCAGCTCACTGGGGAAAGCAAAATGGAAACAAGACATTAAAAATGAGTTTGATGTAGACAATGACAATCTTTTTCACTAAAAAAATCTCAAAACTTACTCAAAACATAGACTGTGCTGTCTAAACAAGTCCAACATTATCTAGCGCTTTCTGTATATGAGTACTGTGTTTCTACTTTTCCAGACTTTTTGCAGTCATGTGTACAGTCTGATTGCTGGAAGACTCCTTTTTCAGATAAGGTTTGTTTTATAGTTATTTTCTCACAGGATAGCATTACTTAGTACCAGAGAAAAGCGAGTTGGATTATCATTGTTACTACTTCTGCCACCATGTGGGACTCAAAAGCAATTTCAGCAACTTTAGACCACTAGGAATTTTACAGCATCCTACCTTGGTTTGGTTTAGAAACCTCAAGGGAAGAAATATTCGGCCATATCCTATCAAACTTTGGAGGATCTGCATGCATCAGGAAAAATCAGGTTTTGTTATTTACATCTGTGTTATTGTTCTAAACAGGCAAGCATATGGACAAAGACATAGATTACAAACATCTATTACTGTACTAGTCTAAGTTGCACTTGAACAGTACATGACTCCACAGTGAACAAGAAAACAAGCAATTGATGATTCCCAAAACACCAAATGGACATAAAATACTGTGCATAACAATTTATGCTCTGTGGTTTAAAATATAATTTTTCATGATGAGAAGATATCCTAGGGCAATATATATGGTTCCAACACTAGGAACAAAACAGGAACATATTCTGTTAAATCTGCTCTGAAGAGATAAAATGACAGTATCAGACAAATATGGATTTCTTATCAAAGACACATATCTTACCTTATCATCCTGTTTTAGGGCCTTTTGAGTGAATTACATATCTGTTATCGGAAGAAATATATTTACCAGTAGAGTGGGCCTTTTCTTCAGCTCTCAAAGCTTTTTGTGTTTCATCTATTTCCTATCACCTCTGCTGATATATTTTACAGTTTAATTTTTTTTTTGTCAAAACATGAAATGTTTACATTTCTTAGAAATCCTACATAACGTGTTACTTGCATGAAGCACCTTGTGTCACAGCAAAAGAATTATCTGTGTCTCTTTAGAGCTTTATCTCCTTTGGTTAATGTGTTACAGGGCTGGAGTAGTGGGGAGTGACAATCCTCAGTGGAAGAGTGCTGGGTGTTGGAGCTGAGAATATGTGAAGGAGGAAGGAAAGAAAACTTTTTTTATTTTCCATTTCCATCTGCCTTGTTTTAAACATCAGACTCGGACCATGTTTTTATTATCTACTGCAGTGGTTATGTTTTCTCTGAGTCGAACAGAATTTTTCTTAATGGTCACGTCAGCCTACGTATGGCTTCATAGCTCTCTACATAAGAGAGCTATTCCTTCACTTCCATCTATGAGGAATTCAGTTGGGTAGTTGAGTAGATTGCAGTTGTCACAACTTGGTTGGGCATCAGGGGCCTATGCTTATATGTCTTTATGAAGAAAATGTGTTTCACTGTTATGTCCATCTTAGTGGGAGACCCGCAGTGAAGCTGTGGCAAAAAGACTGAGGCTTCAAACATCTGATATGGAAGGAGGACATCCCAAAGTTTCTTCTGACCCATTTGTCAAGGGTGAAGAGAAATTGGGTGGGTGAGGCTGTCTCCAAAGTCCTCCCACATAGAGAACAGTTCAAGGAAAGGATGATGACCTGCACTGTGCCATTTACTCTTAGGTAGCCTTCTGCAATTGAATGGGTCAAGGTGTAATCTAATCACATAATTACATCAGATTATTGCATTTTTCTGCTTTTTCCTTATCAATCAAGAAAATAGAAAAACAGAGTCAGTTTGGTAGATTCTCAGTCTATATATTGATTAAAAATAACCTGCCTCTACAGGTCAGATCCACCAATTCACACACATAGGAAGTGCAAACACAACAATCAGTGTGTATGACAAGCTGTACTTACTGAGGTGGCATAATAACCCAGCCCTTCCACTGATAGACTCTACTACCATGTACCTGAGGGACCACCTTTCTCCTCCTGAAACACTGACTGACTGGTTATAGTAAATAAGTTTCAAGCATGCACAGGCAAATTATTTGCACAGTTAATTCACTGTTGAAATTCTGGTAGCTTTAGGAACCTAAACATTTTAAAGGGACTGGACATTAGAGAATACATATAAAAATATATTAAAAAAGCAAAAGCAATCTTTATGGACTACATTGTCCTGCTGTCCCCTGAGCCTTTTTCTCTTATAGCCCTTGTGCAGCATCAGAGTTCTTGCAGAAAGCTGTTAACATTTCAGACTGGAGCTTCCAATATCCTCCTTGTGTTGTTAAGTACAGTGTGGCACACCTAATACAAAAATTCACAGGTATAGTGGTCTTCAACTGAAAAGGCTTAGGTATTATCAGAGGTAAAAGTAATAGTGTCAAAGCTTTGTAATGCCTTAGGACTAACCCTCTGTAATATGTCATTTAGTAAACTGCAGGTCCTATACAGGAAATCAGACACTTGACATAATTGGACTCACTCATATAATCAGTAATATTTCATATATATGAAATATATATTCTCATTATAATTTCTCCAAGTAATCTCATGTCCAATAAAATTGTTCCTTGTAAGGCAGAAAAAAATCAGTGTTACTTATTTCTTAGTGATCCTGTAAATGCTATAGATCTGTGCTTGTTTTAGCGAACTTAAAATGGAGGTTGTGACTTACCACAAAATAATCAAAAATTCCCTGACCCTTTAAATTAGATAACACTGAGCTGAGTTTCTTAATGGACACCCAAAACAATAAAGAACATATTTACAGTGCCTGGAGATTACCAATTAAGCATTATAACTAGTGATTATTATGACTTATTAGTGATAATTATAACCATCTTAGAAGGGACTTCTGGAGGTCATTTGTTTCTTATGTTTGCTCATGGCAGGGTCAACGCTAAAATTAGATGAGGTTACTGAGGGTCATATCCAGCTGAAACCAGCTGCTGCTTGGTAATGTGAGAGACTAATGAGACTTAATGCTTATATTATGTGATTTTTTTCAATCTTTGGTAAAGAGGATATCTTTTTTTCATATCCTTATTCACGAACTGTATTATCATCAAGATTACAGGTTTCTTGATAAAGGTCTTTCTTCATCTCCTTGAACTGATTTTTTTTTTTTTTAAGGGAGATGACTTTAAATGCTTTATCTAAAAAGGTATGTGAGATGTCCAAGTCAAAGAATGTTGACTGTCATTCCCACACGTATATTGGAGCAGATGAGTCATCCTTTGAACAGCCACTGGGAAGATTCATTTAGTAGCTAGTTATTCTTTCACAGCAACCTGTGAAAATATTTCTAGTCCTTAGAGATTACCATGAAGGATTTTATTTATAGAGAAGTTGACTAGATAAACCAATCTTTTCCAGAACACTTCTATGACTGCACACTGTATTTTGTAATTAGAGTCATTATTTACCAGAATAATTAAAGAATTCTGGTGTAGATATTCTATAAGATATCCTACTGTAACATATTCCATGACATAATCTACTGTAATATATTCCATGACAGTTATTTGGGCAAACAAGGCTACAGAAATGTGAAAGAGAGGTTCTGAATGTATATTTTAGTGTTATTATTTGAAACTGAAGCTACTGTAGGCACCTTTAAAAGTGGAGGTATGTGAGCTGTTCAGTTGAGCAGAAAATCAGATATGACATTTTATATTTGCATTGGAACTTTTTGCACTTTTAGTTACTATTGTTCTAAAGTCAATTATATGTAGAAAATAACTATGGGAAAAAAAATCTTTCATGAAGTAAGGAAAAACTGATTCCATTACATTTATTAGATGTATGATAATTTCCTTTTTCCCTTCCCACTTTTTTTTTTTTGGATACACACTATCAGAATTACTTCTGATACTAAACAACAAAAAATCTGTCTCAGTAATTCACTGGAAGTGCTGTCTGCACCATGGGCTACATCACAGTTTCAGATCGGGGAAATAAAGGAAATGAACGAGTAGTTTCAGCCCGATTCCAACCAGGCAGCTGCACATGAAAAAAACCTGTCATGATCTTGGCAGAAATTCATCAGCACGTTGTTGGTTTCTCACTCTGACCAAGTAATGAGCTGACATTAAAAATAAAATGCATTCCCACTGAGAGGGGCTATCCTTCCTCAGGGATGAAGAGCAAGGATGATGGAGTGTATGAACACAGTGATGGTGCCTGGGCATCTGTGCTCTACAGCAGAGTAGTGCCTTGTCATCTCCTAAACTGTGTCTGCTGACCCAGCCCACAAACAATGTATTTGCTGTAAATTACTACTAATAAATCAGTAAGTCTTAAATCATGCTCACTAATGGCAAACAGGGAGCACTTGTGTTGGCAACTATAATTATTAATTTTTAATAACAATAAGGAACCCTAGTGAAATATTCTGATTAAGGTGCTTTCTAACTTTCCTCCCGTTTAAAACAGAGAAAAGTATAAAAAAAATTGTCAATGTAAACTTGGTGATTCGGTAGAAGTTCATGTCTCCAGCCATAGAAAGCTGCCCTTGCCACTGCCTTTTTTAAACCATAAGTAGGCAACAGTAAATAGCTGTTCTAGGATATTAAAAAATATATGCTGGGCACAGTGGAGTTACAACAGTGGTTTTAGGTGTTAATATTGAACAAAAAGCTAGGAATAATAAAAAATAATGTTCACTGAAAGCAATGGTATATTTAGTAAGTGATAGAATAATTGGGTGTGTTTATATCAGATTGTGTTCCACCACTTCTTGCAAGCATCACACTATCATTATTACAGCATTTCTACCTCCTTTTGTCTTTTTGAAGTCACGATAACCTACCTTACATAAAATTTGCCTTTCAGCACTTTCATTAAACTGCCAAACTGAAAGCATTGAAAGAGAAGAAATGCTGATTTTTTTTTTAATCACCCCTTTATTTTATTAAGTTTTAAAAAAATACTTGCCAATATTAGGCAATCTTTCTTGGAGCAATGTAGGAAGTTTCATACCTGTTCCTTTGAAGAAAGGAGAATTCTGCATAAATGTGAAGGTGTGGTTGTTTTATGGCAGCTCCTCAGCCATAACAGCTTTTATAACTGTTGGAAGAATTTAAATGCAATTAGTCCTTTATGTGTCCACTTGTTGTAGACTAAAAAAAAGTGATCTTTTTAGAGGATTAAAAAAAAAAAGATAAATCTAGCTCTGGAAACTTTCAGATATCAGAAAAAATGTCCATTGACTTGAATAAATTGTTGGCTGATTCTCAAACTGATGAGGGCTGAGGGAATTCTTCAGTTTTAAGTATTTCCACTAAAATGTTTGTAGAAGTGCACAATGAATCAAAGCCTTTTTTGAATGAAATATTTAGGTAAAAATCTCATGAAACAAAAAGTAAACAATTTTGTTGATAGTTTGCAGGGGTTGCTCCTTTTTATTTGGATTGATTCTGTTTCTTCCTACAAAAATGCTGAAATTGGCTAGTCAGTTGGGATTATTGTACAGTAATACACAACTGATGAGCAGGAAATCAAGACCTTTTTTTTAATAAGTGCTATGCTGATTTGGAAATCTCATTCTTTCCTTATACTCTGTGAAATAAACTGATTACGTGTCTAAGGGACAGAAAGAAAAAGGTGAGAGGGTAATATCTAGAAGTATATTTTTTCCCCAGCAGTTTCTCCCTAAGCTTTATGGCTAATTAGATTTTAAAATATCTTTGTGGATCATGCCTGCTCTCTATAAACTTCCTTGAATGACCGAGCTAAACTTGCATATTTTAAGTGCTATGTATTTTGCATGGGTACCATGGTACATATTGAAATGTTGATATCTTATTTTCTATAGTGTCCTATCATTTCATTCTTTTTTAATGGTTAAAACAAAGATAACTGTCAACTGAATAATTTTCCCTATATTACAGCAAATCAAAAAGCATTGAAAACTCTATTTGACTGACAGACTGTTTTTAACTAACCCATGATGATGATGGTGAACCGGAATGAAGAATGAGAAACAATATTAAACTGTCAGTGGCTGTGTCTACGAGACTGGTGAGAACAGCTCTTCTTATCTGTTAAAATTGGTGGATCTGGCAAAAGAAAAACTGAAACAAAGGTTCTCCCAAATCCCATCCCAACAACCTGTCAGTGCTCCCTGGAGCAGCATTGGTGGTTTCTGACCCTGCACTCGAATCACTCTGCTGGGATGTTTTCTGCTCAGCACTGGGGCCAGTTTTGCTTCCTGAACTTCAAGAGTGACATCCTAGTTACACAGAAAAAAAATGGCCTTGTTGTGAATCCTACCAGGTAAAACTACCCATTATGTCTTTTATTTGGACTGTTAAATTTCTTTCAGATCCAGTGTTCAAATGAGTATATCATACCATAAAGGCTATCCGTATTTTTTTTCAGCTCAGTAATGTTTTAATATAATGGAAAATCTAATTTTTAAAGCAAAAGATTCTGAGTGCTTCAAAGTACTAGAGTAAAAGAGGGAAAACAGATACTGCTACTGGCTTGATGTTATAATCAGTTGTTTAGATAAAGTGATTGCCTTAGACTAGGAGCCTGATTAACAGTATTATTTATTAAAAGGTCAGATTTGGATAAAACGGAATTGCAATTAGAACATTTTGCTTGTATGTCCAAAATACTGTCTGCAGACAATATTTAAATGTTCTAAGGAGATAAACATCTTAATGGTCTCTCAACAGTACAGCTTTCCGTAAAACTTGACCTCAAATAATACTAGAAAAGTAATGTACAACCTAGTTATGCTAGTTATGACATACGTGGGTGTTGTGTACATGCTCTAGTCCAAAGCTTGGCATTGTAATAGCCTTGATCGCACGATTGTAGATTTAATGAGAGAACTTCTTGGTTACTGCAAGGGGGCAAAATCAGGTTCAAAATACCTTGTGTTGTTATTAAAAAGAAAAAAAATCTGCTAGCATTTGCTCTCACAACCTTTTAAGATATGTACTTATCACATTAAAATTTCATAACAAATATGTAAAACAAATAAAGCTACACTCATCCATGCACAATTTTAGTTCCAGAAAAACACCTACTAGATTTTTCAAGGTTAAGAAAACAATAAAATAAGAGAGTGCCCATTTGGTCTTTTCTTTTTTTTAACTTCTGTGTCTGGCATGCATTATCATAAAAAAAAGTTCTCTTCAATTGAAATTGGCTATAAAGAAGAACGAAACCACAGAGAACAAAGCAGAAAATACCGTTTGATTATTGTGATTGCATCTTGCACTTGGGTGCACGGTCTGTCTCTAAACTCTGACTCATCTGCCAGCAGCAGGCTTTAAGGTGATAATCACCCACACAGAGCTATTTGCACATCATGTCTATCCTATCCTGTATCTAATTATACCCTTTATAACAAACTGTTTAGCATAATTAGTGGAGTTATGCTTCACAGGAAAAAAGACAGAAGCCATAGTTTAGAAGATTCAACTTTTTGAAGGCACACATGTACAGATTAGTGACTTTGGTATTTGGTCACAATAATGAACATTTTGATGCATTGGTCTATGTAAAATTGTAAATCATTATTTTAGCAAGTAAAATAATGATTTACTTTTCAGAATATTTACATATTGTATGTAAGCATTGCTTAAAATTATGAAATGGTTTTGGGACTCATTAATTGCTAACACTTTCACCAGTACTTTTCCAGACATGCCTGAAAAATGCTGAAAGGGCCAGCATTGTAATCAAGAATGCTGGAAATTATCAGAGAACCTATTATTCAACTGATAGACAACAGCAGGTACAAATGACCTTAATGGGAAAGCTCTGATTTTTTTATTTGTTTTGTTTCCTTCTAGATGATCAGAAAGGATGTTTACTAATGACCACTCTTTCTTTGTGTTCAAACTTTAAAAATAAGCTGCTTTAACACGAGATCTTTTGAGGTAAAAAAGGAATAGAGAATAATATATATATGCGCACACAGGAATATATTTATTTTTCTTTGTTCGTTTTCATTGCAGTCTTAAAAGTGTTAAATGAACATTACTGATGTTGGCATCTTCTTTGTATGCTGGCAATTTAGTCTTTCTAACCCCCCTGCCCCAACCCCATCCTCCTTATATAGCAGGAAAAGCTGGAAGTACACAAAAGCCAATAGCCCCCGTAGGTGTTTGTTGCCAGGCAAAATGAAACCCAAACTGCATCTCCTAAGAATAACTTCCTGTCCCCAGATGGGGGAAAACTGCTGATATGAACACAAATACTGTATTAGCATAGAGAAAAGAAAAAATCATGCAGAGTCCATTAAAGCAGCCACAACTAATTAATCTTGTTTGGATTTGTGTGTTAATTGTACTTCTGTTGACTTCTCTTTGAGACCAGGATAAATTTATGGATTCTATCCTTGTTTAACAAAAGTTCTGCTATTTCTGTATTATCAGAAAGATGTTCAGAACATTGTGCAAGTAGAATTATTTCCCCCATGAGCTATTTAAGAAAAAACACATGGAAAAAACAAGTAGAGTATCAGTATTTACTTGAAGAGATGCTCATGCTTCACTCTTTTCAGGAAGGCAAATAAATTTGTTGAATTCTACAACATATCATTCCAAGACATTTACAGCAGACTAATGATAAAGCATAGACTTGCAGAAACTCTTGTATTTCCTATGGAATTTTAAACGGAATTTTCTCCATTTGTAATAAATAAACTGTACTAATCACTCCAGTGTAAAATACAAAGAGGTCAACAATGCATCCTTTCAGCTCACCATTGTTCAAAAGGTATTTAAGTTTCCCTATTAAGTTTTCAAAGGCCAACATCTGCTGATGCTCAGAAATGGGAGATGTGGTGACGAAGGCTGTATGGAGTGTGAAGTGAAAACACAACCATATAGACCATGCAACACAATACTAAGAAACTATAGCACAACCAAACTCCGAAGACCTATTTTCCCATTCATCCCATTTCTATTATTAATGGCAGGAATATTTCTGACATGAATTTTCTCTTTCATTTAGTTCTTTCTTTTTTGTTGTTATAAAATATATGTCTAAACACAAAGTTTTGAAAACAGCATATCGCTATGAATTTGCAGTCATGCAAATACCAAAGGAGATACTAGAGCAGGAAAATGACATTTTTAAGATTGAAGGCTTTCATTTGCACATTATTGTCATTGATGCTGTTCCACTATTTAAAGCTGCAAAACAGATGCCATGGTGTTCAGCTTTAACACTGCTCTCACTTGCAAGGGAGATAGTTTTGATGGCATTTAACTTGCTGTCTAGAGCTTAACAAATCAGTGCCATTCATGAGCTTAAGTAAACTGACTTGATTTATAAATTGATAGACCTGACCCTGCATCATAAGAAGCGAGACTATTTTACCCAAATTATTAAAAACTTTTCAGTTGGATACTGGGCATGGCAAATTGCATTTTACAACTGTGATATTTTATAATTGAGATAGATCTGCATTATAGAAGTCGTGTCTAAACTATCTGCAAAGCTGAGGCTGTGGGGAATATTCTTTCAGTCAGCCACAACAGGATCCCATTTCTGCCTCCCTGCTTTATTTGTAATTAGCTAACATGCCATGACTGTGTGCACTTCTCTGCTATGGAATTCAGCTGAGACCCACAGCTGCGCTGCTTTGCACTTAGTCCCTTCAAGTGTTATATTTAAGTAACCATCTATTTCATTGATATAGTGGTGCTTTACATAACAGTGTCATGGTTTTGTTATAGTTCAAGTATAATATTTCGGTCCTTTAATTGCATACAGGAAAGCATTTTTTCTGTGAAGGAATACAATTCTGTTTATTTTGTGGCATAAAGCCGAGTCCAAAGACCACTAGAGTTAACGCAGATATCAGCAGATACGCTGTATTTGCAAATCTACTTCATAAAAATGAAAGCTATTACATTTATAAACTCTTCCATTTGCTCTTTGTATTTACACAGGTGTACACACATGAAAATTAATGGTCCTATACTGTTATTAGCAAACACTTTTTTTTTCAAGATGCTGAACAAATATTTTCTGTGCAATAGTGTCTTAATTCTTTGTGTAACACTCAATTTCATAAGACTCAGTCTTCATCTGGTGATAAAAAACAATCAGAAAATCTGTGCTTGAGTGCAGATGAGTTGTCAGGAGTGACATTGTCTCTGACCACATAATAACAGTTACATGTTAATGCAACAGAGGAAGGCCAGCATGGAGCCCCTGCACTATAGGGCACCTAGTCAGAGAAACATTATCTACAACAGAAAGGGATGCTGGGAAATTAGATCCATGAAGCTGAATGACAATGCAAAACAATACTGGTTTTATTACTTACTACCAATACTGGAAATACTGGGTATACCTGTAGAGAAAAAAAAAACCACAAAGAAATATAGTTAGCTGTTTGCTGTAGTTGGTTGAGCTATTACATCTAAGATTCTGAAAACAATTTTAGAATACTGTGGTAGCAACTGCCAATATGTACCCAGACCTTCATAAATGCAGAGTCTTTAGATTCTTCAGTATGGGGCTGCAGGGACTACTAAAATGCATCGACAGATTGGACCCACACCAGCTCTCTGTACTTCATGAATTTGTTCAGAACACTTTTGTATTCCAGCTAACCAGCCATTAGGTTTAATGCTCTAGATAAAAATATCAGTCATGCATGTATTATGCAGATCTAGGAGAGTAATTTAACCAAGGGATAGATGGATTGCTAACTGCTTTGGCCAGCTGCTTAAGTCAGTTGATACCTTCTGTTGCATTAATTGTATATAGCTATTTTTATCTCTTTTACCTGATGGTTATCTAAATTAAGCTATGTAAAAGAAGTGTAATTGAGTGAAACAATCTAATACAGTAGGTTGGCCTTATTGGCTAAGCCTCTCATTGATTTTTTTTTTTCCTCTGTTCATTTCATTCTTAAACTGAATTGATGGAAGGAAACCATTCTAGAGGCAGGTGACATTTACCATAAGAGGTGGGGCTGCAGAGGAATAAAATTCCTTTACTGGATAAGCAATGTGGGATCTCATGTTGCATGATGCAGTCCCAAGATAGCTTCTTGTCAGGTCTGCCCTGAAATGTGTGTAGCACAAAAATATGGACATGAATCTTTCCTGAAATGCCATTTACTTAAAATTAAATGCCATTGTTAATGGACTATGGCTAGTCAGAAACTGCAAATCAGTATTTAAATCCTGGATATTTGCATCTTCTTGGTTAAATACAGTTTGCCTTTTTTAAGTTTTACTCACTTTTGATGGTATGCATTTTGCTGCAGTAATCTCTCTGTTAATCTCTATTAAACATCCGCTATACTTCTTTTAACATCTATCTTGAAGTTCTCTCTTGGTCAGAGGTGGCCCCACTCTGCAATTTAGCAAACTGGAGTGAAGGAATGTCTTGAGGATTAATGATATTCAATGTATGCAAGATTGTGGAGTCAAGTTGGGAACACTTCTAACTCGTGGTATGGCTAAGACAATGTTGAAGTAAAAGAATTTGCAGACTGGGGACAGATCTTTTATGTTTCATCACATCAGTCCTGGGGCACATGTCAGAATTGCAGCTCTCTGGTTTCACATCCTATGGCACCTGTGGTCTGGCAGAGCACTGGGCACCACACTGTAGACAGCACCTGCTGCTCACCCAGCCCTACGCTCAGACGTTGTTTACAAACTTAATTATTTCCACTTCTGCTGAGATTAATGTGTATTTTCCAAAATTTTAGCATCATAAGGTATTGAAAGCTAAATGAAAATATCATCATAATAGAACAATACACTCATAGTTCTAATAGTAACAAAAAGAGTTTTTTTCAGTTAGGATAATGTAAGAGAACTTCTATCCCTTTCTCTTATATGTCAAAAAGACCATCAATTTTCAAATAATTTTCCCTGCAGTTTCAATAGCAGCTTGTTTAAACTTTTGCAAGTCACTGTAGCTGGTTTAAATTAGCAGGATCCGTTTTTGTTTATACACTCATGAAACCTACACAAATATTAGATAAAATACAAAAACTGTGTTCTTGCACTGACACTTTCACTGTGAAATGGTATTTGTATTTCCTCTAGGTATACTCCCCCGCCTCAAACCTCTCTGTCTCCTACACACACACACACACACACACACACACACACACAAATATCCTTTCCTTTCTCTCTTGAACAGATTGTAGCAAAGGGAGAGGTTTTCCTGCAAGTCTGCTCTCCTCATTTTACTGTATTTCAAAATTTTCAATGAATTCATAGCGATAAATGCTTCCTGGGCAGAGAATAATGAACACAAGGTGCCTGCTAGTCTGAGGGGCTCTGGATTAACCTTGCAAAGGTGTCTTCAGGTTCTGTTTCAAAAGCTATTTCTGTCCTTTTTTTATTTCTGAGTTGGCGTGATCTTCTGTAACCAGATTGATTTTTGTAATACCAGGTATCCCTGTGTGTGGTGACTGGCCTTGATAGTGCACTACTTTATGCCCTTCTTACTAAAGAGAGTGAGAATGACACCTCTGAGTTTGTCTGGAAAAGAGTTCGTTATGTAGGACCATGAAGCAGGATCTATTAACACTCTGTGAAAACTGCACATATGATGGGAAAATTATTCTTAGAACGAGTGTTTTTGTGAGATCTGGAGTTACATATTGAGGCTAGCTCTTGAATTCAGCTGAACTGTATTTGGTGCAAGTCCTTAGGTAACGAGGCACAGGAGGTGTGATCCTCTCTCTCCCTCTCTCCCTCTCTCCCTCTCTCCCTCTCCCCCTCTCCCCCCCCTCCCCCCTTCCCCCCCTCCCCCCCTCCCTGTCAGTGCGGAGGAAGGCGAAGGCCTGAGCACACGGCTCCTCCTGTGCCACTGCCGCTGGGGACACCAACACACTGCAGAGTCATCCCACCACTGCTGGCCCTTTGGATGGACCTGCTACGTTATGTGACATGGATCATTTCCAGTCAGCCTTGTATTGAAATCTGTGAGTACTTTGCAGCAGTGAAGTGATGTGAAAAGGTTATAGAGATGAAGGATCAGGCCCATTATGTCCCTTGATGCACAACTCTATTCAGCCAGGCATAAAGAGCAAATAAAACCAAGTGATTGAATTCACATATATTCAGTTGTTAAACCAAAGCAATGTTCAGTCTAAATTATCTTCCAGTTGAAATCACTGGGATGGTTATTAATGGTAATAGTTTTAGAGTGAGGAGACAGTGAGTAAAGCGTGCAAAGAAAGTTCAGGGGTAGCAACTGGCCCCAAAATGGCAAATATTGCAGTAAAATGTCACTAATACTATTTCTTATTTTTTACTTGACTTGAAGGTGGTGGTTTGGTATATTACATGTTCACTGTAAGTGCATCTAAATATATATGCATTACTTGAGAGGAAAAAAAATCTGATGTTTTCCTTTTATACGATCTTCTGAATCTGCCCTGTAATTTTCTTGTTTCCCCTGCCTCCAGAAATGGGTTGTTTTAGCTCTTAGCTGCCATGGAGCTGGCTATTGAGAATGAAGAAAAAAGCAAATCACATGCTAGCAAAGAGAGCCAGTTTTTGATTTCTTCTATAGTTTGTGTCAGTGTGAAATCCACAACACAAAGTAAAAGGATCAGGATTTCTGTGAGAAGGGTCACACTGCTGCTTCCAGTCTCCTACCCTGCAGACCCTCTCAGCACCTTCATTGTCAATGCCCATGTGACCATTTGCCAGCAGCACAATTAATGTAGCCAGGCTGCACCTCTTCCTGGGCAGGGAGTGTGTGTGGAATGAAGGAATTATTCTGTCAATTCAGTCTTGGCTACCATCTTTCCCATGGGCTTGTCTGTCTCTTCTCCATCACAACTTAAATGTGCACCTGCCATATGACAGGGAGCTGGGGACAGGGCTCACAGCTCACTCATGTTCAGGAAAATGGTGTCACCAAGAGCTCAGTGAATTATCCAGGTGAGATCAATACAGCCCAGAGACTCAGAATTAGGACTGTCTCCCATGAAGGCATGGCTGGATATGATAGTAAATAATGCAGTCCAGCTATGAATCTGTATTAATTGCTGATCAAAGCTGTGTGAGAGCTTTTCTGACAAAAGAGATGTCTTTATAATTACACTCCACACCACACATTTAACTCTTCAACAGGAACAAAATATAGAGCCTTTTACAGCAAAGAGTCAGAGCAGGCAGGTCAATGTCACACCCAATCTTTTGGTAGAATATTTGTGCTGCAGCATCACAGCACTCCCTGCAGTGAGTCTTTCTTCCCTCTGCAACTCTTTCACTGAGGCACGATTGCAATATCAGATCCTCAGCATCAATATCAGAAGTTCTGAATTCTCTAGTAATTTAAAGCTCTGAGAAGCTAGAGGATCCTGGCATCTTGTAACCCCTCAAAGGGAGTGATCATTATGATCACAGGACTAAAATTTTCATGTATTGCTAAACCTGTTTTCAAACAAAGGACCACACTCTGTGAAAGAAAATTCTTAGGAAATTTCACAGGTTTCATTCAAGGGCCCTGGAACTCCTGCTACTGTTAATTTTGCACTTGTTTGCTCTGTAAAGATTGAAAATCTTTCAATTACCAGAAAAAGAACTGCTTAGATGAAGTTTGTTATCCCTCACCTCTCCTTTCTCCAGTGATATTACCAGAAATAAATGGGACAGAGGAAATACTGAGTTATTGCTTTATTGGGTAACACCTTTTCAAATTTGGACTTTTTCTTGTTATATTTTAGTGAGTCCAAACCAGTATTGAAAACTCTGTCTGGGAAACTCCCAGTGAGATCAAAGAATTTTTTTTTGAAGTAATTGTAATTTATTGATATAGAATATCAGAAACTTTGAAAAGCCCAAAACTTAGACTACTTATAGCACCTTGAGCATCTCAAAACAGAAACTTTGCCTTCCCATGCTGCTGTTGCTGCTTAAAGACTAGAACTCTCTTTCATTTCACCTCTTCACTGTATATGGCAAAAATAGAGTTGTTTGAAGCCATTGACGTATGGAAGCAATTCATTTCCCAGCAACAGATGCCACCATAACCAGCACAAACAACCAACTCAGCAGGGTCATGCAAGAGGGTAGAATGCTGAAGAATAATTTTTCAAGCCCTATTTAAAAAAAAACACAGCACATTATTTATAGTGCATTGTTTTTCGGTGCACACCTGCAATGCTTTGCTGGCTATTGCACTGGATACCTGGTTGAAGGGAAGTTAGTTTATCACTTGCAGTTTTTCCTGACATTCCTGTCTACCTGAATGCTCTTGATACACTGCAATTTTGCCCTCACCACTAGGCTTCTCAGCCCGATACAACTTTTGTATGACATGTTTCTGTGGCTTTATATCTTCTGTAAAATTCATGGACCAAGATTAATACGTAATATAAAATGGGAACAATAAGAAGCTTTGGTGTTTTTTAACTTAATATTGATTCATATCTTCCTTTTTCTCTTTGAAAGACTTATCAAAAGCATCAAGGAGCAATATTTTACACCCTAAGTGTAAGTGTCCCACTCCTTCAAATTGAATTATGAAGTAGGCACTGGAAAGCTCCTTCCAGTTGTTTGGAGAATGGGACCCTTAGAAAATGGGACACTATCTACTTTGAGTCTGCTTTGACAGGACAGCAGGATGTGTGATCCTTTCAGTTAGAGGGATCCATGCTACTTAGATTCCTGAACAGAAAGCACAACTTCCTGGCCAACTTCATTTATGCTGATACTTCAAGATGGCTTTGTGTCAGCAAATATTTACAGGGAAAACTGCAAACCAAGGAGAGGGTAACCAGTGCAGTTCTGTAAGTGCCATAATTTTTGCCAGAAACTGTTTCTGTCACAGCTGTGCCACAGGACAGCTCATAATCTTTTCCCATCTGGGGAGGATTAAGGCTGTGCTGCTGTGATGGAAGCTGTACAATCGGAGAGGGACTCACTGCAGGAGAAATTCAGTGAACTGATTGAGACTGCCTAACTCTTGACTGAAAAGAACCACCAATGTTTCCCACATCCTGGTCACTTTTGTTTCATGTTGAACTACAAATTAGGAAAGTCATGTAATAGCTGGGAGGTGGTTTTCCCAGATTGTTCAGGCACTTCTGGTACAGGTTATTGGTTGTGAAGGGATTGACACAAAGCGAGCAGGCTTTGATGCATGGCAGTTCAGTGCAGTCTTAGACAGCACTGTCTGAACAGAAGTGCCAAAGATGATCTAAACAAGAGGAGGAAGAAAAGGGCTAGTGCTGTCAGACACATACAACTGCTGAGGAGAAAAACTATCCTGTAATACCAAGTCTAGAGAAGTTCAATAAGTTCACTTTGTGTGTCAAAACACACTGCAGAAAAAACTATCCACAGAATGTGGCAGCAAAAGGGAATGAATGTAATCACAAAATAGTCAATAAAATAGAGTGAAAATATAAAATAAATGTCAGGTGGAGACAAATGCAGAAATACTGTATTTGTTAGTGCCAGTAAACAACAGAGTACTCACTATCTTTCACAGGTCAATCATGGAAAAATGTTTTGCATTCTCCTGAAAAACTCATGATGACTTTAAATGAGAAGGACACAGAAAACAGTTTTATATTAAGGTTTATGCTTTGACTGCAGAATAATCTGGAATGGCTTGTGTTTCATGAGCTGTACCTTGAAAAGGTATGATAAAGTCTTATTGGTCACAAAAAATGGCAGAAACAGAACAACGAAAACAACAGAAGTTATAGTTGGGAAAGATTTGGAAATGGACATTATGCTTCTTGTTGAAGCTGAGCAAATTTCCCAAGTTCAGAGAATCTCAAGAAAAAGTATCTTTTTATTTTGTGAAAAAAAGAAAAAAAAATTGAGCGTTTCATTTATACAACCATTTTTAACTGTGTCTTATTTAAGATACATTCACTCCCTTAGATGGAAAAAACAGACTTTTAAAATTGGAGAAAGGATGTATTACTGGGAGACTGTATTACTCGATTATATAAAGTGTCCCTAGGGAATTGAAGTAATATATGAAGGGAAGTTTAGGCTCAAACCAGATAAGCTACTTCTATCAACATGTTTCAGCAACTATTTACAGAATTCACACCTGACTAGGGAGGGTATAATGCTAGGGCTGCATTGCTGACCACATGATGGAGATGGTAACATAAAGGCAACAGAGTAAGGAAAATTACATTGGCTGTGCAGAGAGTTTACACAATACTGCAAAAGTTCATATGCTCCAACACATAAGGCCTTAATTCAGAAAGTGACAAAAGACATGAAGCTTTTACATACCATAAATGATGTTGCTTGTAGCAAGTAATCAGACAACCCACAAGAAGAAAAGCTGATTTAGTTCTGGAGGAGGTACATAGGACCCAAGTCAAGAAGTAGTTATCAGAGAACCACTTCTGGACTGAAAGTCAACATGTTTTTGAGAAGGAAAAGGATAAAAAAAATCCACTGCAGTAATATTTAAGCTTGAGAGAGCGAGGAGCGAGCAGATTAAAATGAGGAAGTTAGCTAAAACAAAAATGAAAAGAACATCTAAAAAGATATAATGCAAACAGCATGGAGGCAAGCTGGAGACAAAGTGTATGAGAGACTCAGAATAATCACATATAACTCATTTTTTTTTTAAATTATAAAAATCAACTCTCTTTTAAGCTAAAAAACCCAAATCCCAAATTGAAAACAGTAGAATGTAGATGATTTTGGAAAGACACCCTTCAAAAGTGTAAGTCTTCTCAATGAAGAAAGATAGGGAGGAAAAAAGCATAAAATCTGTCAATTTAAATATAAACCACAGTATTTTGAGAATCAACTTTCTACAGACACAAAAGTTAATAATTCTTTTTTGTTAAAATAGCCACAGTAGAAGCAGGAGGCCTCCCAGAGAGATGACTGGGAAGACAAGCAGTCAAGGTATTATTAATTAATATTATGGTTAATTAATAATTTAATATTGAATTAAATGGTTTAATGAATATTGAATTTAATAATTTAATGGAATTTAAATTGATATTGAATTTAATTAATTGTTTTCACTGATGTTCACAACAAAGACGGTTAGAGAGATTCTCACAATATGAGGAACCTTCTCAATGTTTGTCATCATCTGAAGTAAATGATATCTAACAAGAATTGCCATAAGGAGATGTACACCTAAGAAGTATTTTGAAGGAACTTAAGCATGATGTTTCTGAATTAACTCCTTTATCATATAATCTGTTGCTTATGCCAGCCTTCATGCCAGAAGAAATGTTTTAACCAAATAAATAACCTAAAAAAAATCACACCATGGAACCAGAAGAGATCAAGAAAGCACAGATGACCAGAGATGTGGCACAGTTTTATGGTAAGATGAAACAGACCAGGATTTGTCATTTAGAAAATTGGAGTGGATAATGTCAAGTCTATGTCATGATACATGGTATAACAGAGCTAAATAGGGTTGTGTTATTCTATGTTCCTTCCTATCTGAGGAGGTACAGGCTTAACCATTTAAAAACATTTAAAACAAACAATATACCTTTCACTCATTGTCTCATTAAAATGTGAAATGTATTGCCATAACATATCACTGAAATCAAGCTTATATCAGCTGGGTCTCTCCTGCTACTCAGCAGCGAGCAAACACTGCGATTATGATGGAGGGTCCAGCTCAAAAAGCCAGCTTATTGCTGGTGACTGAGAAGGCAAAGAATAAATCCTTCCTGCTTCTTCCTGTTTGCCATAAATTCCTGCTGCTGATCATTGCTGAAGTCAGGATTTGAGGGGACGTGGAGTGTTCGTCAGCTCCAACAAGGTTCTGTTTTCATGATGTTATCATCATAATAGTAATACTAATAAAACTCAGAAATGACTGCCTATTATTTGTGAAACGTTTTGATTTTTGACCTAACTGTGTATCTGATGAAATTCACTAATGTGGTTTTAACATAAAGTTGTTTTAATTTCAGATGCTTCAGACATCCTTTAGGTGGGCGCTAATTCCAATGTTCCGTCTGGTGTGTGCTCAACTCCTGGAAAGGAGGTAACTGACACAGCAAGCTGCATTTAGCAAGAACCCTGTTTTCATGTTCAGATGTATCTTGTCACTAGGTTAGATGATTGCTGGGGTAGCAGATGCATTTTTTTATGTATACATATATTTATAAAATATGTATGTATGTGTATACATATGTATGTGTGTCTATGTAAAAATATACAGATAAAATCAACCTGGTAAATCTCACAATTTTTCCCAAACATAGCTTTAAACTATTAATTCTGTGAGCCACACTCACTTTTTATATGTGAAAAAAGTGAATACTCTTACAAAATGTTTTTCCCCGGCTTCTTGGAAGTTCATTTTTTTTTTCTGCTCAGTAAGAATTTTATCGTAATTTCATGCCCCCACACTTCATGGTTTGTTACTTGGTCTATTACTCTCACATTTTACTTGATAAGGTCCTGCTTCCTATGATCTTCATTTCTGAGTTTTGATTCTTCACAGCTGCTGCTTTGAAGTCTTAGATAACATTTTGAGCATTGCACACTGTTCCTGGTTTTAAACTTTTCATTCAACTGCAGTTCATAGCTCTGTTTCTCCCAAATAACTTTTCAATAAATGTTACATTCTCATATTCTAAAATGAATGTTTTGCTTTTAATCAGGGAAAAACTGTGCACTCCTTTCTTAAAAATAGCTAGTAACTTCTGTCAAAAGGTTTATTCTCATTTTCAATCCTTTCTTCAAAGGAATTTAAGTCTGTTGTTACTCAGTTCAGGAGGATTCTGAGTCACTGTGTATTTCATATGTGCAGGAAAGTGAGAACTGATGCTCATACTTGTCTTTGTGCCCTCTCTTTCACCACCATATTCTTTTTGACCCAATCCTGTCCAGGACCTGGAAAAGCAGCTGACAGTAACTTACTCCTCTGGATAATATGAAAGTGTGCTGGAATAGTGAGTGTGTGTGTGTTGTTGAATGGCTGCTAGCTGGAACCAAGCAGATATAAAACCTTAGGTTTAGCCCTTGCTTTCCCTCTTGATCTACAAGATCTAAAAGAGTGCAGATGAATCTGGACTGCAGGTCACCATTGGGTAAATATTTCCCAACCTTTAGATCTTTAGTTATTAATTTGAAAAAATTGGTCTGTGGGTTTTTTTCACTTTCTTGAATGGACAAAAAATGAGCAAGGACCTCATCTCACATGTTGAGCTGAGAGTGTTTCCAATCTCAAGGCAATAAGGATGTATGAATGGAGAGCTGAGGTCACTGTGGCTGGAGCAGTACTGCACAGATATTTGCACTGTTTTCTCTCCTCTGTGTGTTTTTTATGTGAAGAGTCCTAATTTTTTCATTCCTTAGACCTTTCTGTACAGTGTCCACAGATACGTCTATGGATACAAACATCCAGTTCTCATGTAAGTTATTTACAACCATGTGAGGGCACAGATGATGCATACTTAGAATTAACACTTGCAAATTGACACCTTGTTCAATTATACACACTGAGTCATAAAGAAATGACAAACTTTTGCCAGCATTAATCTTTCTTCAGAGTCATGATATGGGGCAGAATTATAATAATGAAATATCCTTATTATACAAAACTACTTACAGATATTAGCAGTGCCCTTAGGTATAGGCAGATAAGAACCAGGGCTCCATGGTCGGCCCTGGTAATTCTTCTTGCATTTTCCACAGTCTGGGCCAGTTGTGTTATGCTCACATTCACAAAGTAGTCTTTTGTTTTCTTCTTTACAGCCAGTAGCATGAAGGTTGCACTTACACCTATTTTTAAAAGGCAAAAATAAAACAAAGTGGGATATTATTTAGGGGTGAGGCGGGTTTGAGTTCAGATCATCTTAGAAAAGCATGTCCTACAGCAACCACTTGATCTCTGTGTTGTGGCTGTAGTATTGTTCTGCCATGCTTTGTAAATAGCAAGTTGCAGTATCTTCAGCTTGCACAGGTCTAAAAGTAGAAATTTCACCACGACTCTAAGATGCTGAATCCTTTCTTGTTTTCAGTAATTCAGCTCCACAGAGAGCAACTAAATTATTCATAATTTTTACTACAGACTGGTCTATAATCTTGTAGGAATTCAAGAGTTATTCACTATTCCCAGGAACAAAACAAGTGCTCTGCTCATGTCCTTAGAGAATCTGGCCCAAATTAAGATCCAAATTAGGCCCTGAGAAAACAGACTTCAGTTAAATATCCTCTGCAATGCCACGCTTTGGTAGAAGGGAAGCTCACTATAATAATGTCTTGCCATTCTTGTTCAGAAACTAGTGTCTTGCTGTTCTTGTTCAGCAAGTGCTATTCTCGTTCAGCAAGTACTATCTTGCTCCGAAAGGAAAAAAAAATTTCCTACTGTAATTTGATATAGCTGACGTCGCTGAAGGTCAGAGGAAATATTTTGGTAGGCACACTTAGTTTTACTTGGGAAAGAACACCTAATTGAACCTTGTGACAAAATCGTTAGATAAACCGGATGCTGCATCTGGTCTCTGAACAATTGTATTTTCTTTAAATTCCCCTCTTTCCCTGAAACTGGGACACTTACAGAATGGGAAGTTAGTTTCATAAACAGTAAGGCATTGTCACCTCTTTCCATCCCTTTCCAACAGATGTCAAAGTCAGCTCAAATCTCTTTCTGTTGGGGGCTGGAGAGAAAACTAGTATTTAACGACCTTTCCTGTTTGTTTTCCTCATGATTGTACATCTAGTGATTTAAAGGATTCTCAGGTGGGCATTTGTCACCTGTTCCATACAGTGACCAATAATTAGAGCAAAACAAAACATGGAATGGCCGAGTGCAAATTAACAGCTGTCAAGCTGACTTCCATTTGGAAGGAATATGACCTGAAGCAATTGGCCACATACGTATATATCCCCAGGGTAAAACAAGCTTGGAGTTGTCATAAGTGGCTGCTGGAGAGAATCCCTAAGAATATATAATACAGTAGATGGTGGATCATTCTTCTCAATGCTAGAAACGAGACAGATGAAACTGCTGTTATTTGAACAATGCTCATGCTAAAGAAAAACATGTTCAGCACCTTTAAAATTGAAAATTGCCAAAATGTATTGAATATGCTAGACAACAGAAAGAGCGAGTCATTTTTGTACAGTGTCCAAAATATTGGTGCTTGAGGACTAAATCAGTTGTGAATTTTCAATGACTGGCCACTGCAGAATGAAAGATGCCTGTCTGGGTGTCAGTGGATGAGATATGCCTATTCACATAGAGATTGAAGATTTTAGTAAATAGAACTGCTATTAAGAAAAGCAATGGGTGAATTTACTGTCCACACAAATATGAAAATGGAAGACTCCAAACAGGAGAGATGTACAATAATAACAAGACCAAAAAATAGGGTCAGAGGAGAAAAGCAGGAGTAACTGTTCTAGTAACTGTGGAGTTACTAGAACAAATGAGAGAAAGGAAGAGACTGGATTTCTTTCAGTAGGAGATTTCTGTTTTATTGTAGGGACTCATCAGTGTCAGAGGCAGCAAACTGCTCTAGGCAAGAAGAAAAAAAAAGGCTGATTCTGAGGAAAAGCTGTAGTTCCTAGAGCTCTGAAAGGGTGCTGCAGACTGGTAGGGGAACAGAGGTGGGGGAGAATAAATGTGTGTCCATCTGCTAATGGGTGTAAATGTGCACAGCTCTTTTAATAAGCACCCAAAAATAAAGAATGGTTGTGTCAGAAAACCTTGTGCAAAATCTCTTTGCACTTCTTAGATGCTGTGCTTGTCTTGTTCCTGGAGAGATAGACTGATCCTTGGTTTTGCTTGTAGACAGTGCTGACACTGAAAGAGAACAAAAAGCATCTATAGAAAGCAACGTGGAAGGTACCACGTCTGGGGAAAACTAAGCCAGTATCAAATTCTGTGGTGTATGTGGAGCCTTTCCTTAGGAAGGCTGCACTAGGAACTGGGCAATCTGTCCCAGGGACCTCATCAGAGTGTACATATGCACAGTCTTAGAGACTTTTGCAAAGAGAAATGTCTGTTGTGCTTGAGGGACTGACTTCTCTGAATGACTGAAAGAAGTAAATGTGCATAGCAAGGCTAAGAGATGACTAGAGTACAATAAAAAGTTAATTCTATCTGTAGGATAAGCAGTAAGAAAAATAGAAATATTTAAGGTTATGGAAAGAAGACTAATTAGGTAAAAGTACCATCCAGATGGACCATGAGAGAACCACTCTAGTGATGAGATACACTGAATTGTGAGTGGTGTGAAAACAAAGCAGCAGAGTCTAGGCCTTTGGCATTTCAGCTGTCAATCAGCTGAGCACCACTGATCTGGTAGCTGACTTGGACTCCAAGCAGATCACTGTCAGGATGAGGACATCAACTTCCCGTGGAAGACTGCCCAAGTTCAGCTCTTTTTTAAGGAAGGTTACCTTTCTTTTGTACTCCGGAGGTAAGGAAATATTTTGTTACCTTATAGAATATCCATGATGATAAATTATTACTGAAAATCCTAGGTACCATTAAACACTTGCTTTGAAGGTAGTTCCTAGCTGTTATTGCTTTAAATCTGAGATAGGAACAAAAGGTTTATGAGATTTACATACAAAGCACATTCAACACCAAATTTCATATAGCCTTTGTTGATCCTCCCCTTAGCAGAATGTTGTCGCTCTGGCTGCATGTATAAGAATGGAGGAGTTCTGAAAACCTAAAGAACTGATTTGACATCCTGTGTATTGAGTTCCAGATGACAATATTTTTTGTGCCTATACAGTTCTTGAAATCCAAAGAAAAAAGCCAAAGTCCTGTGTGAGGTATTACGTATACACGTCCAGAAATGCAATTACTGGGTAGCAGTGGGTGGGTAGCAGCTGCTTGGCACACCAAGTAGGTTTACGATAGAGGGAGCTATAATAAGTACAGCAGGTTTGAGAATACAGGTTAAGGTCTGGCAAACGTGGGAGGACGTATGCTGCAGCCTGTGCACTGCACTGGCAAACAGCCTAAGGGCAAAATCTCATGTAAGGACACAGCAGATGTTAAGGGTAAAGTGCAGTTTTGAGATACAGTACATGCTCACTGTAAATGGCACTGCTGAGGTCTAATGCTTGTATGACTTTACAAAGAATGTTGGAAGTCCATGATTATAAATATCAACAACTCCATGGACAATTAGGTCACATATGGGGAGATGCAGGCCTTGAAATAGCTTTCTACCTGAAGGGAAAAGCTATCTGCCTATTATGTCTGGTGACAGTTTTTCCAGCCTTTTTTTTTTATTGCTCCAGGTGGGGGGCAGCTCTGCCAGTGTTGAGCTTGTGCAAGTGAATGCCTCTGCTCCACAATACTTGCCTGCATTTGGAAACTTCCACTCTGACGTTGCTACAGCACGGCTGATATCCATCTTTCCAGTTCAACCTGTGAGGACTCTCCCTGCTAAGCAGCTTGGTTACAGCACACGCAAGAACACATTTCCCTCAACGTGCAAATTCAATTTGGAATTGCTGGAGATTGATATTGCTGTCCAACGCTATAAACTCTAATTGTGTGGGAGAACAAATTTGTTTTTCTGACCACTCATCTCTGACAGACTCATTATTTTGTCATAAAGCAACTGAAATGATATTTTTGGCAGTTACATAAGGCGCAGGAAGCACTCTGGCGTGCTGAAGGAGCAGTGCTGTTGTAGTGGGAGCCCTGGGTGCACTGTGTTCCTCACAGACTCTATTTACATACAGACAACTGACATTAAAATGCTGTAAATATCACCAAGGTAATTGCTAATAGCGTGCTGACGCTCTCGCATGGGAGTGCCAACCAACAGACTGGGGGGCACGTGAGGGGATCGTTGATGTTGAAGAGATCATTCATGAGAAAGAAAGACAAGAGAAGCTCTTTGATACATTTTTAACGACTAGCCATATGTTCCTCGCTTAGAAACATCTTTGAATCATTCTAGGTCATCGCCAAAGTTTGGAAAATCAACTTAAAACCAACTTGGAAGACTTCTGCCCAGACCCTTTGCTTTTACATGCCACGAGTCGGCTCTCTGCTCCCAGGTAAGCAAAGCCTGAACTTGTAGAGGAGTTGGTATGTTTGCTCTTCACGTTCCTGCCCACATATTGTAAAATACCATCCCTGTACAGTTTTAATTAGGCATTTTAAAACACTCCTAGGAATGTTAGGAGCCTTAGTCAGCTCCTCGGTGCTAGCAACTACTTCCAGCACCTTGTTACAGTGGTCCTAAAGGACTTGGCCATGATTTTCATGACATCAAATGTGTTAAGGCTGTCATCTACATTATGCCTCTCAAGCTTACTAATGACCTTAAGGCAGCTTTACCAGTGAGATTTAGTTTTCTAATATAATCTAGACAAAGATGAAAATTCCACATTACAAACACATTTGAATTAGAGGAGAGATGTAGGTTGAGAAAGTGAAAGTCAAAATATAAGCACCTTTACAATATACCATGAAATCTTTTGGTAAAACCAGCTTTGATGGTTCATTATTTTTCAGATTTTAAATTTTTTTTGACTCTTTATGAGGCAAATTCAGCATAACTTGAGAAACTGTAAGTACAGGTAAATTACAAAACTTTTGCACCATTGAGTGTGCAAGGTAAACAACATGAAAATACTTAGAATAAGTCTGATTTTCCTTTAATTTTTTCTAACAAGTGGAACATGTTTTCATTGAGGCTCACATTTGCTGAATATTATTATTCATTATATTGTAAGATTTTTCCATGTCATGTCAAAAAAACCCACAAAGTATGCTGTTCCTTATCCTAATTTCCAATGCTTAATAGATTTTGTGGGGATGAAAAAAGTATAAAGGATACTGTCATGAAGAAATAAAATGACTGCTGGCCAATTTATTTCTGTGAGGATGCAACAGACAGTGAGAACACGCTTACATAAAAGTTATAACGACAATTACTGCAATCTCTGCTACCAGTGCTCACTGTAGGGACTACCCATCTGAAGAAGTTCTGAGCTAAAAGGGTACAAAAAACCCCTAAGGATGGTTAACAATCAGAAAATGGCATGGGTTGTTGGCTGCAAGTAGGTCTGCTGAACAAATGTTCACGTGAAGCAGAAAAGTAAATTCTGGTTTCTATTCTCTTTTTTTTTGAGTCATATGAATATCTTAGGTCCACGCTGCTGTAAGGAATCAAACTCCAAAGAAGGCACTACATATTTTTCTGGAATTTAGAAACAAGATCCCTATGGTCTGCTGGTAAAATGTAGACACTGCAGTGAGAGTAATGAAATGTGAGTCCTCTTTTTCACTTGTTTATTTCTGGAAATGCCTTCTGCTGATCAGCGGTCTTTTTCCCTGTCCTTTTCCCTGAATTTATCTAATACATCATAATCTCCCACTGAAAAAAAAGTCCTTTGTGGAATAGGGCTAAATCAATAATAAAGGATAAACAAATTCAGTAATAACAAATATAACTTTTTATAGGTAGATATATTATTCTTTCATTTGCAAAGCAAGGACTAGTGTTGGATCAGGTTTTTAAGCTTCTTAAATCTGTAAGTAGCTTTGTGGCTAGAAAAGAAGTTTAACCTGCGCTCAGTAATCCTGCTGCACCTTAGTACCTTAGAATCCAGAGATTTACAGAAGCCTCTTCAACTTTATTCTTCACTGTTTCGTTTTCACTGCTAAATTTGGGAGGAAATTGAATTAGACTCCCACAGGCAGTATGGAAAATTGGGGAAAATAGCTTCTTATTCTCCCTCAGCTGAATATAATATATCTAGTGGGGAACAGCAAAGCCTAGGCAGAGAACATGTTTGCTTTGCTTTCTCAGTGGCCTACTTCCAAGCAGTTCGGAGAGCTTGAAATTAAAAAAAAAGACAACAACAAAATCCAAAAGGGCAGCATAATTCCCTTTCCTGCAGTCCCAAGGCTCACAGAAAGCATTCAGGGCATAGTATTGCCCACTGTTTGCACTAAGCCAGCCCAACATTAAGAGAATGCAAGTGCTAAATTTAATATAAGATTTATTGTGTTCATAAGCTAGTAAACATTTCTATATACTGTCAAGTAAATCCTGGCCAATACAAGTAAGAACTATTAGATCATTACTGACCAATTTATATCTCAACCTGTATTTGATTAGTACATTGTCTGATAGATGCACATTGTCTTCCTTCTGAAGGGAAACATTAGTGGGGCAGGTCCTTCTGCCTTGCTGCTCCTTTTCCCCTGCCACTTTCAGACAGAGGACCACAAGCTACCATACCTTGCCAAATAAGCTCTAAATGTTTCTGAAATGCAGTAGTTTACCAGATGACATCCTTCCAGACAAACAGAGGCAACTGAAAATGTTTACAGGCTACATCAACAGCACTCATCACAAAGACAGAAAGGAGGAGTCAGTACCCTGAGCAAACTCCTCAGTATTTAAGCATGTGAAACTGTTCTGATTTTGTGGCTAGATAAAAAATGTTACAGATCAACAGATATGAAAATATTCACTTTCTTCAGTCTCTTAGATCCAAAGTCTAAAAATAATCCACTGTTGCTTATGTCTAGTAGAACAGAACAGCTAATTCTGAGTTATTTCAGTTTACCACATAAAAAAATACTCATCCTTAATATTAAATACTTGGATAAACCTAGTCAAGTGGCATGGGCACATGCTTTTTCTAACTTTGATTTCATATTCTCTAAGTGTTAAAGCAGAAATAAATGTCTGAACATATACCCGCTGTTAGCTGCTGAAGAGAACCAACTTCCATTCCCTTCCTAAACATTCATTTTTGCTTTTTTTCTTCAGAGATATTAGTTTTCATTGAAATGTGTCAATAAAAAGAGTGGCTATAAAATCTGCTAGGGTTTGCCAGCAGCATGTTCTGCAAATAATTTCACTCGTGAACACAATTTGCCAGATTCTTAGCTGATGTAAATCCATCTGGCTCCTGTAGATTCAATGAATTTATGTTAGTTTGCACTGCCTGAAATGAGGCCTAATTTGTTTCCAGCTTTCATTCATATTATCCTAGGCTTGGTGGCTGTATTTTTAGATAATGGCAGATAATCTTTTTATAATTTTCACTGGCAGGTCCAAGATCTTGAATAAGCATGGGATGGAAACTGGGAGTCAGTGGAGGATAAGGAGCCCAGGTGTGATGTGCTTAGGGACAGGACTGCTGAGAGGGTAGGATGCCAGTACTTTACATTGTTTCTATGCATCCATTTTGCTCTAATCTTTAACTTCAGAAATAGGAAGCTTTTCTTATCTACATGAAGGATGCTGAATAGGCACAATGGCAGTCATGTCTCTCAGAGCGGAAGCAAAATCTCTAGCTAAGATGAAGACCAATAATGACAGTTTTTTCCAGTGCTACCAACTGATCATTTAACACTAGTGGTTGTTTGGGAGGCTCCCAGACTACCAAAGAAGAATTAAGAAAAAACACCCACTGCCTTTTCTCAAAAATTAGTTTTTCTTTTTCCTTCTCTCTCACTTGAGATTTCCTTCTTTCTCACTGGAATCCCTTTAGTCTCACCCACTAAGTTGCTGTATTTCACACTGCAATCAATGTCTTGATACATAGAAGGGACGAGATGGCAGAGGGGGAAGCACGTGCTGCAGAGGTACTACACAGTTAAGGTGTTCTGAGTTGTCATGATGTATCTCCTGTTTTCATTGGTTTGCTCCAACTATCAAGAAAAGCTAGGAGACACTAAAAACCTGAATAACCTCACTTCCCATACTGCTGTGTATCTGAGAGACAAAGGCTACTGGGACAGGAATGCATCTCTCTCTCCTCACCAGCTGGAATAACAAAGTCTGCTTGGCAGCACCCTGCCATAATCCATTTGATAGTGCAAAGAAGTTAAGCACAGCATCTGAGATTTGACAACTGCTCATTGCTATCAGGATATTAAGGAAGAAAAGTTTTTTATTATTTTAAATTTTTTGCTGCTGTCCAATATCCTGCTTAGCCAGCCGTAGTTTGCCATCCATTATTAGGCAGTAAGTCATTATCAACAAGTCTATAGACATGAACAGATACCCAAAACACACCTTCTATTTTAATTGCTGTAATACCACCTGGCAGAATTCAACCACTTTATCACAGCAAGTGTAAAAGTCTGTACCGCAACCTGGTAGATTTTTAAGAATGTGGTACACAAACCTCTGATAAATGGCGGATCAATATATCATTGCAAAATTTTATAGCTTACAAATTTAAAAACAGAAATTAAGAAGTCTTTAGGAGTCACTGTTTTCTTTTCTCCCAATACAAATCTGAACATTAGATTGGAAATTCCCAGCATTTTGCTAATGTGCATCACCACTTCTAAGTTTATTGAGAAACCAATTTTCCTGGGTTTAATTTAATTAATAAATACCAGTCTTACATCTGCTCAGCAGCAATCCCAAGAAAACTGCTCTAAGATGCTAGTGATTACACCAAATTTCCTGTCTTTATTTGTAAGTAGTATTTCACAGCATCAGCTGCCAGCTGGTATCCTGAATTCTTTTTCTCAGCACAACACTGAAAAGGAACAATTTGTTGTGTGGGAGGTCTAGAACTGTGGTCATTAAATTACCATCCAAGTGGACATGCCTACAATACCATTCAAAAATGTTGTTTAACTGTCTACAGTGGGGGAAATTTTATTCTCTCACGCAGCAATACCCTAAAGTGAGCTGTTACAAATTTGTGTCCACAATCAATGTTGGATGGACCTGACTGAAGCAGAAATACCTTTACTTTAAGCTTAGAGAATGACTCAGGGTGTAGCACCTATTGTGTCACAGCAGGGAATAAAGTATTTTCATGAGACATTGGCAGGAGAGCAGTGTTTCTGCTACATGAGAAACAAGCAAGGTTAATTTCATACTGATTTTGGTAACTTTTTGAGGACTATAATAGAGAAAAGCAGCATAAAAATATCCATGGTGCGCGCAGAATTCAACACCAGGGAAACCAGTTCTGTGAAGCAGTACGTCTGCTGCTCTTTTCAAAAGATTTTAAAGCATTTTTGTTTAAGAGACCTCCCATGGACTCATTTAAAAGCTCAAATGTGCCCCTAGTAGTCACTGCTGCAGAGATGGTATATATAGAATAGTGGCGTACGGACTGAAACTGGTTGCCTCCAAGGGAGAGACAATATGCCTTGTGCTACTCTGAGGAATACTCCTGAGAGAAGCAGTGGGTGTAAGCCCTGGCTCAGGGCAGAGACACCCTGCTGTCCTCAACGGGTGTCCTGCACAAGGACTGGCCCCCACAGCAGCTGGTAGGGTGAGATCCTGCATGTGGGCAGGGAAGAGGTGCAGAATAGCCAACCCCACATACACTGACTTTCGGACACCAGGTATCACTTGACAAAGTGAGATCTCTCTGATAGCTTTAATGCAATGGGTAGCAAGGTCCTGTCAGTAACAGAAAAGGTTTTTCTCTGGGTGCTGGTTATCAGGACTCAGTGAGGAACCTTCTCTCTTGCTCATTCTCTGATAGGCATCTGCTGTGACTAGCTCTGCTTTTAACCCCTCTTGTTCTGTTTAGGTCTGCAGGTGAGGGGATTTTACAAATCAAACAAAGCTCTGATGAGACTTCCACCTCCTTTCCAAAAAAACACCAAGACCATGGAAAAATTGTTTCCAAGAAGAAGGTGGGTTGTAGTTGAGAGAAAAGCAAACACAAAGCAGAATATTTCACAGGAGGTTGTTTAACCCTTTCAGAGCTGTTGGTTCAAGTCAACTCATGGCAGCTCCTGTGATCCCCCCCACTGAGCAGGCTCCTGCAGCAACAGGATTCATGCAGGATGTGCAAGGAAATGGAGCTGGAGCAAGGGACAGGAGCCAGCAGGAAAGATTTGGGCAGTTGATCAGGAAGTTGCACTTCTGTTTAAAAACAGCCAGAAAGGAGTCAGACTTTTCTCCAAAGATAAAAGGTCTATTGAAAATATCCTTGGGTTTTTTGCTATATATGTTGGCTGCCTTTTGCTTCAGGTGTACCACCAATACACACAACCAGCAATAAAGCACACGTAGAGAACAAAGGCTGAGTTCTCATTCCAGTAAATTCTGTTAATAAATAGCTACATACAACCTAACAGTCCCTGAAAAGCCCAGGATTCAAGTGCTTTAAACAGACAAAATCAGATTTCCTTTCTTTTATCTGTCTTGTTCTATAGGAGATATATTAGGGAAAGGTAAAGAAATACTGATAAAAGCACTCTTTTATTTTCAATATCACCATGAGATGTCTAGGCACTGACTGGACATTTAGAAAAACCAGGGTAGGTGAGGGCATAAGCAAAAATGTAATTCAGGTTCTCTTTTGCGATTCCTGAGAATCCAGATGTGAAAACTTTTCACATATGATTTAATGGCCTCTTCATGGATACTTTTATATAACAAATATGTAAATTATCATTAAATTATGAGGACACAGCCTAGCCAAAAACTAATGCTTGATTCTGATAAATAGCTTAATATTTGTCTTTTCAGACTTCTTCCTCGCTCCTCATCTGCACAGAAGCCATTGCCCAAGATTCATCGTTGCAACCACTCTGAAAGGCACCTTTTCACACAGGTAAACTGTTTCCTCCTGTTCCCTGTCAGTGGTTTGCTGTTCTGCTGGTTATAGCTGATATTACTCCTTGGTATTCCTGACTTTAAGGCCTTGGAATCGCCCCTCTCCCTCTGCAGTGATGCCATGATTACCAAGAAGCAAGGAGCGCAGGGCAGCCGCTGCGTGCGGAGCGCTGGCCCCGTCCCACCGCGCTCTGCCGGGTCCTGCCGCTGCCTCCGCGTGGTGCCGCTCACACGGGCGAAGGAGAAGAACGTGCTTACTGCGAGGGCAGGTTAATTGATCCCTTTTTGAAAAATCATGTTGCTGAACTTGAACTTTAAGGATAATTATAAGGCATAAAGCAGCTCTGTTCTTTTCTGGAGCGTGTTCCGAGGTATTCATGATTCAACTATAAAAGCCGAGGGTGCATAATGAACTGTTCAGAGCAACTAATGCTGACTAAATATTTCAAAAGTGGTTTTGTTCTGGTGTTTTCTCGTGTTTCATTAGGGTTGATTTTCAAAAAGCTTAAGCCTCACAGCTCCATCTAAAATAATTGGGAATTGGTAGTTGCTTATTACCAAAGCAGACACTCCCAATCCACTTCAAAATACATACAACTTTTATTGTCCCTTTTTTATTTCTTTTCTTTTAGTTTTTTGTCTCAATTGGAGGTCATAACTTAAAAGAGAAAAGTTAAAAAAACAAACAACATTTCTCATTGTTTATCATGCTAGACTCAATTTTTTAACTTTCAAAATCCATTCAGTATAAGCTCCTTGTCACAGAATAATTCCCTCTGGAATTATTATGATACGAATTATTTGCCAGTAGTGCCATGTAAATAATTGATTTTTTAGTTCACTGACTGAACTGAAAAAAACTGGAGGAAAAAAATAATTTGTGTCAAATGAAATGCGTTGTTTTATTTACAGATTTTAAATCCAATTTTAGAAATTATTTTTGAAAATTTTTTTTAAACAACAATATTTCCAAAGGAAAAATTGTGCCTTTTTTGAGTTTTCAAAAAAATCAGTCAAAACTACTTATTAATGTAGTAATACTTTTAGCCATCCCAGATAGAATTTTCTTCTGTGAATAATTCATACTTCAAAAATACTAATCCTTTCTCCTGCTGAAGAAAACTAGATGACAAGCGAGCTGTTGAAGTATGTCAAAAGCACTTAGCATCCTCTAGCTAACTTAGATACTGAAAAAGAGCTGTTGGGTCACTTTACCTCTAGTCCTGTTGGTATAACAACTGGCACAATGAAATTATTTGTTGTGAGTAATTTTAAACAGTTCAGGAAATGAAGTTCTAACTGTATCTTTTCTTTTTAATTTGGGAAAGCAATTCTTCTTTCATCTAATATATTTCAGTTGGTGACTTTGTGTAGAGAAAGATTACTTTCTTTTTCAAAAATACCATATGACTACTGTTTAATTATAGACACTACTTATTGTTATCTTGAAGCCACTGAACTGGTTAGATCTGCAAACGTTTTATTATTTCATATTAAAGCCAGTGGAATTAAACAAGACAGGAAAATTTTAAAGGCTTTTTAGTATTAGAATACTTGAGATAATCACAGAAGCACAGAATATTCTGAGTTGGAAAGGGCCCACAAGGACCATAGATGGTCTGTGGGTATGACTCCTAATGGATGACTTGGTCTTCTTGGAGCTGGGTGGTCAGAGCTAGGCAGTCCTATTCATTAATCAGAAGCAGCTGGAAAGGAGCTCTTGAACCTCAAATGGTGAAAGGGAGAGGAGACCTGGCTTCTGGCATTGGCCTGGGAGCAGCAAGCAGGTGATGTATGGACATGTGTACAGGCCTGCCCATCGTGGTACCACCAACACTGGTTTTCTCCCAGGACCAAAACAGGTCTGCCATTGGGGCTAATACTTGCCCTAGCCCCAAACTCATCTGACATGGGACAAGAGGCTTTGTGTATGTCTTTGTGAAATGGGGTTGATGACACTGCTTTGATAAGTTTAGATGGCAAAGGGCTGGTAGCTTTAAAGCAAAGTCTTAAAATTCTGACCTAATGTCAGATGTGAATAAAATAATGATTGCTTTTGGCCTTCAAGTGCACTGAAACATTTATTATTCATGTTTGTTTTTAACAAATACTGGGTAAATCAAAGAATGTTCACACAGAAGCTGCACTGTCCACTGAGAAGCTGGGAACATGTTTTTGTTGTCTACAAAAACAGACATGCTGGGAGGTCGAATTGGATCCAGTGACTATAATATTCCATGTACCAGAAGAACTAAACAACTTCATTTATATTTTAAATGATTCAAATCAATACTTCCCTTCATGTTATGTGACCCCCGCCAGGAAACTCTTATAACTGAAAATTTAAGGAATAGATTGCAAGTTATGAATAATGTAAGGCTGTCAGAGGGGAAAGCAAATTGTGAAATACTGCTGACAGAAACAATCAGTACATGTTTATACTGAAGAATAAACTTTAGCAATTCTGTCTTGCATAACGCAGTTTTTAAAATCCCATACAAACTTTTCAGTTTCCCCTGAAATGTCAACCAGGCTTCCTCAGCATCAAACTCCCCTGGAAAATATACAGGCTGTTTGTGTTCTCAAAGAATGATCTAATCTGGAAGTAAAATGCTTGCATATATATATATATATATATATATAATAAATAGCTCTATGAAAAATAATGGAGAACTAACAGATGCAGGTAAAGAAAGAGCCTGGATTTGAAAAAAAAAGTCATTAATACAGGGATGTCTAGCAGCATCTATTTCTCAAGCAGCAGGCTATTACAAGGAACATATCTAGTAAGATGGGACAGGATCTGATTTGGGGCATAGACAGTCAGATGGTGAACAAGAGCTTCCTTCCATTAAAGCATTCTTCAGGGCATAAGAAGAGTGCTGTTCAAAATGAATTGGGTTTTGTTTGCACATCAACTGAGGTGCCATCAACTGAAAATAAGAAGAGGTATTTGTCCTGAAGACCTGATAAGTAGGAAGAGACAAGGTGCCCTGAGAGTGTCCTTATAAGAATGCCTGCATGACACAGAGCTTTATCTTTAATGAACTTGGGCATAATTATGAGAAACCTGAATTATGCAAATAAAAAATCAAGAAGAAAAACATAATGATCACTTTATTAGAAAATATTTTTGGAAGTAATAACTCTGGGGATGGAGGAGTTGGTGTTTGTGTCTGATGTGTTTTATAGCTATGTTCTCTCTCTCGGACAGAGTTGCAGAGAAGAAGGATGGAGACAGCTCTACCGGGATTTAGGACGGTGCCCACAGCAGTCATCACCTCCTGTCCCCACCATTACTGTTCATTGTTGTTCCTCATTTATTCTCATGCCTGCTCAGCATTTCCTTCTGTTGACCTACACAAGCCAGGAGGGGGGAGCATTACACAGGACATAGAATTGCCCCCAGATCTTGTTAAAGCTGTTCTCTGCTTTCACACCGAGCAAAAAACCTCAGGAGAGGAAAAGGGCAGCACTTGTGGATTTTCTGCTATATACAGATTTATCATGATATATAGCAAATGGACTGAACCAAATGACTTAGTGGCAAGTATAATCATATCACAAAGGTAACAAGCTTCTGGCACCTGTTCATGCATTTTCTAACAGAAGTTGAATGTAGCTTTCAGAATACAACATTTCTATTCCTTTTTTTCCTATGCAAATCACTCCTGCGTTTTGTCTCTGTTTTACCCCTTTATGATATTGTCTGGGTTTTCAGATGCTGACCTACCTCTGAAGATAAAGAACTTGATAAAATAAGAGAAAAAAAAGTCTTAGTCTGTAACAGGATTCTGTTGAGATGCATGCACTGCAGACTGTGAACTCCAAGAACAGCCAGGACAAAACAGTTGTAGCCTTCTCGGTCTTGCTGGCCCTGGCTCCTGTGGCTACAAGGCAGGACAAGTGCCCTGGGCTGTTGCTGGCAAGTTTCTTAGGATGAAATCTCCCCTACACCTCAGGGCAATTCTTTCTCTTTCTTGTTTGACTAATTTAGTTATAAAAGCTGAATTTTTAAACCTGGTTTCTTTTAAAATCTGCTAAATTTATGAGGATATGAAAAAATACACATTTTATGCGTTAGGAGTTAGAGGGAAGCTCCTGTATACAGAGCACTGAGACTGGACTTTGTGTTATATTAACTATGTTTGCATTACAGCAAATATTTGCACAACTCTCTAAAAGGTCTCTCTTCTGTTACAACATACACTCAGACAAATTTAAATTGCAGAACCTTTTTCTTTGGGAGTAGGCCTTTTTTGTGGTCTTAATAGGGGCAAGAGATTTTTCAAAAGCCCTGGTATAATAAACACAATCAAAATTTATGAAATCCCTAATTTTATCCAAGAGTCAGCACTAAACCACCTTTAGGTCATTTCATTTTAAATGCCAAATGCCTCTGAAAATGTAATGTGATGCTCTTTGGATGAAGCCTTTAGAGCATATGTCTCTCCTCTCCACAGTTCACAAGCAGGCTCCATGTCAGCTACACTCTGCTTAGTCAAAACCTGGGTATGACTGCACAGTGAGGAAACCAATGAACTGCATTAAAACTATATACTGCACCTGCTTGTGGAATCAAAAGACATAACCCTTTGTCGTTCTGGTGGTACGGCTGTCCTGCATCCCTCCTCTTTAAAGCATCTATATTTTATGAAGCATTAACAGACAGACAAACAAACACATAGACCACAAAATCCAAAGTCTGCATTAGTCTCCAAAAGTAACCATTGGAAAGAAGAGATATTTCAGAATCTGATCTCTCAATATAGACATTCAGTATCTGTAAAAAACAAAAGTGCAGTTGTATATTTTAAGACACCAAGTCTAAAACATGAGATATTTGTACATGTCAGAATGGAGGCTGTTGTGGTCATCTACCTGAAAGGATTATTACTGGAAGGAATCACCACGTTGATAGTTACTTCTGCAGTGACTAACTGATCTACCTGATGAGAAGGTAAAATGATACAAACTGGTTTGGGTGTGTAAGGATTCTACACTGTTGAAACTTTCTTTTGAGACATGTACAGTAGAGGAGAAATTAAATGTTATTTTACTTTTCCTTTCATCCAACTGTTTCTCCACTTCCCCTTCACCATTCAGGAAAAAATCAAATGGAAAAGGGGGATGAAACCCTTTACTTCTCTCCA